GGGGAGGAGGGGGGAGGAGGGGGGGAGAGGGCAGTAGGTATAGCAGCAGATGCGCTATAGCGGTGCGGTAGAGTGCTGTATGTAGCTGTCGCAGCAACCGGGGCACAACTATGCCTGTACAGTATCTCTATTTTTTAGAGAAGGAGAGCGATGCAGCTGTTGCTGTTGCTGACGCAAATAGGCAATTGCTCTTTCGCATGAGCACAGCGTGCCCAGGATGATATGCAGATGCAGCACAGTCCAGAAGCACCCTCGAGGCTGCACTGGGGGGACCGGGCTGGGTCAGGGTGGAGTGGAGTGGAGTAGAGTACGTGGAGACTGGTGCACCTGCAGTACCTGGTAATTTACCTGGTCTGGTAACCTGGTAAGGAGCGGAGCCAACCTTAGCTAATGTTGCTTGGTACGAGTACTCGTACCGTATGTTTGCATAGGATGGCACAGGCACCGCATGTGGTGGTCAACGTGCTTCGGTCAACGTCCCGGAATGGAGAGGAATCTGAGTGGATTACCCGAGTACCTACTGTGCGTTGAGGAAGTGAGGCCCAGATTCAGGGGTCGTCGCAAGTAGTGAGGTCGAAGTACTTTGTACAAAGTAAATTTGCGAGGAAGTACTGGTACTGTACGAAGGTAGGGATGCGGACGGGACGGGATGGTGGAGTGCACTGACAGCTTAAAAGCCGATCCCAAGACTGATGTCCGTGGAGTCTCGACTCGGAGAAAAGAACATTCCGATCGGAGCTTCTTCCATTCCTACCGCAGGAAGTATAAGGTGGTCGTTGCGTCGGGTTCCAAGGTTGGCAAGGTGGTAGAAGCACAGACGATACGCTAGCAGCCTCAGGGCCTCAAGGCGTTCAGTGTTGGAATTATGTGGAATACGCTACGCAACGCTACGCACCCGCTCCGCTTTCCCGTCCTTCCCGTCCCCATTTTCTGGCTTGTTCAGGCTTGAGGAGGCACAACTCAACGTTGCACTTTGCAAAGTACTGACTTAAGTTCATGCTGATATCAATGCTGTACGAGCTGTAGGGTGCAGAAGAATGGCCACGACCCTCTACGCCACCACATGTCAATTGAAGGCCAGGAAAAAGACATCCATACTTTTTACAGCAGCTTCATGGTCTGGTCCTGAATACTGGGCCACGACGCAGATGTTCATTAACACCCGCCGAATATAGGCATTTCAAGGGCCATTGTCTTCCACAGGTGCACCATGTCGGAAATCCCATGCATTCTAAAGCCGTCTCAACACTATCGAGCATTTCATTTCCACTTCTCAAGCATTGCTATATCAATTCCACTTGAGAAGACTCGGGTGTCTTGGCTTTGGGGTTGTAGATCCGGCCTCTTTGGAGCCACCCGTAACTGCGGCAAAGCGTCAGATGCTGGTGGAAAAGCCACACATAACGGTCTGTTGTTGCATTGATAGCTTGAAGTATATAAGAGCACTCAGCATTAATTGCTTCAACTCTGCAGCAGAGATTACTTCCCATGCCAACTTTTAGCCGCCGCTTACACGAGAGAACCCATACAGAATGAGATGGATTGCATCTGTTCACTCTCGGCAAATCTCTAGACACGCTCGAGATATGGAACAGTCAAGGAAAGCCTTTTCCACTCGTGCGTAAACTAATACCCATTCTCCTGGCTGAGATAGGTAAAAAGATACTGGATACTGAATGTATCAAACGTAATACAATTGCGGTAAACAGCAACAATAACCGCTTTGATTGTTGATCGCAAGTAGCATCAACGTCATCCTCTACAGAGCCATAGACTTCCTTCCATCACCACCAACATCTCGACAAGAGACATTCTCTTGTCGAGAGTGGCATCGACTATGAACGGCGATCCCCGCACATGACGGATCTCATGTTTGATCACTGCCAAAACCAACTCACCGGGTCCATCGGCGATCCTGACCCCTACCCAGTCATCCAGCTAGACTCGGTTCTTATTACCGCTTGTGTGGAAGGGGGGTAATATGGCACCATATATGCTTTCGCCGTCTGGACACTCATCGTGCTTCTCAAGAGAAACCGGACTGCTTTTCCCAAAAGGTAACGACAAAGTATGCAGGTACGAGGTGGGGTTTCTGCAAACTGAAGCAGACAGACGGATACCTGCGGTGCAATTATTGATTTACTCTGGACGTCGTGTTTTTCCAATGATTCCTTCCATGAAATAATATCATTAACCCATGCTTTCCTCCTCCAGCACGCCCTGGTCGAGATGGAGTCCCATAGGTATGTGAATTCTTTCATCAACCAGTTCTGACGAGATACATATCCGCCGTTAGGATTCTGCATATTTTCTCAGCCTGGATTTCATTCGGTCTTGTGTTCATCGCCATCAACCTATCACGTTTCCTCGTCGTAATACTGCAGAACGCCGTCGTTATTCTTACCCCAATCCAGGTTTTGCATATGACAATATAAATTCCACGCATACCATCCACACCCCCTTGCCTTCTCAGATATCTTGTCCGTGGTTGCCGGCTCACGATCCGAAGGGGGAAATGCTATGATTATTGAACGCCAGATATTACTATTATAGCTGTGGCTTTCCGTCTTAAGAACCAAGGGCCCCGTCGAGATGACGGAACTCGGAGGATTATCAAGCCATTACTTATCAAGATGAGCATCGTATTCCGTTCGATGAGCCAAAAATACACAATTGTTTCATCGTCATGGTCTCTTGAAGCTTGAAACGTCCCGATACCTGTCAGAGTCGTCCAGAAATCTTGATGTGAATAGCTTGGAAGATCGTCCCGTCTGACGTGAGGAATTGAGTTAGAGAAATCAGGTGGTGGGGATGTCCCACAGATAACCTTACAGTACAGTATGCCGAGTAGACGGAACCATGTTCTGCTGAATCCAGGTGAGAGAACTGCAAAAACTTGCATTCGTATGTACGTGTGGGGTTCCTCTGCGCCGTTTTTCCCAACATGCAAAAGAATGTCTGTCAGATCAGATTAAGGGCCAGGGCCAAACCTTTTCGTACAACATGTGGTCATCCAATTTGGATCCCTCATGTGTCTCCCTTCACATATCTCTCTGATCCCTTTTTTTGCAATATACATCTCGATTTTCCTGGATCCAGTGGGTCCCTCCCGAGGCAGTGTCACCAAGTAGCAGGGTGCATATATTTGACATGCGCCACTTCTGGCGGGTTGAGAGAAGCTACTGTACTGTCAAAGTCTGAAGCTCCCCCCTCCCCTCCTCATCGCGCGCATTCAGGCTAAACTTTGACCGTAGGGAGGAGGAAAAGGGGTTGCGTCGATTGTATGTTGACGGAATGGGCTTGGAGTTTACTCTACTCTAAACACTTCAGTTTTTAGTTTCTTTCTGTCACTTTTGCACTTTGCAATCTTACCTCTCTTCCACCCCTTCCTTTTCCCCTCCTCACCTTCAACCCTCCTTATCCCGTTTATAAACAAAATAAAACAGGCTTTGAACGCTGACGGGTAGGGAGCCATGTCTCATTTCTTCACACACCAAGACCAACGGGAATCGGGTTCATTGGCTACCAAATAGGCGGTCAGAGTTTGATCTACATCCACCTTGTACAGATAAAAAAAAGGTACGTGAACAGTAGTTCTATTAATTCTTCCCTGCTAAAATTGTTTATCTCACCTCTTATTCCTAATGTGGCTCAGAGGGAGTTCGGGAGGTAATTGAGTAAGCTTAAGTTTGAGATGTAAGATCTTACTCGTAGACACGAGCTATTCGAATACTAGAAGTATAGACTATAAACAATGTCCTCCCAGGAGAAAAGGAGCTTGTCACCGAGTAGTAGTATAGTACACCCTGCTGGAATTTCCCCATTGAGACTCACAAGGAACGCCCCAGGTGAGGGGTTGTTAAGCCATCTTCTTTTCTCTCCCGGTCAAAGTCGAAGTTGAGGTTGAAACCGATGGGAACTTCAAGGTCGAAGGAAGGAAGTTGCGAAGTACTCGAGTACAGTAATGTAATAAGGCAAGGTTTGATTTATGTGCCTAGGTATGTCTGAATAGGTCCTCCACTCAATGGCAATAGCCACCGGGTACAGTAGATAGATAGCTGGTAGCTGGTAAAATACTTCAATACCGTACCCTCCCGTCCCTTAAACGCGACCTTCCATACACCCCCCCTCCAAGAACCTTCACAACCTCATAAAAACAATCTCATAAAAAAAAAGCAAGAAAAGGTAATCAATCACCTAATCCAACCCCTCCATCCAACTCCCTTAAATACAGTACCTACTTCCTGCAACAAGCTTATCATGCATCCATCAAATACAAGCAAGCTTCAGACGAAAAGAAAAGAAATTCATCGTCCCATGTTTTTTTGATGCGTTTTTTGGTAGGGGTATTGTGAAACGTCTTTTACCATGGTTTGTGGGTCCTGTTGTGGGACGGGACTTGATTTGACGCCCTTGCATGGTTGGGGGTTCGGTGTTGGTGTTGTGAGGGGTTTTTGTTTGTTTTGTATGGTATGAAAGAGCTTTTTGGGGGGGGGGATGGGGTTGGATTGTGGGTTGTTGGGTTGTGGATGTGGGTACTGGGAGGGTAGAGTGTCTGAGGAGTTTTTTTGTGTTTTGGGTATTTGGAATGGGGGGTCTTGGGTTCTTGATGATTATGGATGGATATTCGTTGATGTTGTGTTTTCTAGGTATTGACTTTTCTGTGCGATGGGAAGGGAGGGGTTTAGGTAAGTGTACTACTACTGGACAGTACGTAGAGGTATGACGAGATCTTGTGAAACGGTCTGATCCAACTAATCATTGGCCTGGAATTGTGAGATGGTATCTCTTCTCGCTCCTTTCCCATGACAATACCCCCCTAATAGTGGATTGGGAAACCACCCAGTTTATCTGTAAACCTCCTAGGTACTTAGTACTCTACGCACGAGCGATAAAACAAACAAGAAGACATGGAACTATCGCATTTGAAATCACTGTATTTATTTTAGTAGTTAGATTCTGTGCTGTATATAAAGAAAGAATCACCCTCCCTTCCCTACGGATATCTGGAGAATCTTTACGAGTATAGAGGACTCTCTTGGTTTGGGGTAATATCCTTCTGGTATAATAGATCATCCATGTGTAGTGCTGTCTAAAATAATATTGCTATAGAATCCTTAGGTATATGGAAAAGAAGAACTTGTTGGTGTATTTTGAGGAAGATTGTAACAGATTTGATTCAGTGAATTCGAGGCCACTGAATCAAATCTGTTACAAAGATGTGGGACTAGACATCAAAATCAGTCTTTGGACACCATTTTATTTTGACTCTAGCTTAAAATTTCGTAGTAACAACCAAGTCTCATTTAAGCGTAGCAGAGTGAGCCCTAGTATACTAGTTAGCCTTGGAGTATATACCAAATAAATCTTTACAAGTGAAATATGTAAATTCCTATCCCTTAGTCGGTGTGTATGTAACTAGCCAGAGAATTAATTTATTTTCAATTAATTTGTACCTTTTCAGATTCTTAGGTAAACTATATACCTCTATAGGCTTTATAGTTAGTCCTGGTTTAAAAACACACCAAGGAAAAATTCGGCTATAAACTATTAATTCTCTATGTGGTAAATTATTAATCTTACTACAAAGAGTTAAGTTGCATATTCCTGAGACTACCTACTATACTAATAAGTACTTTCTAGAACTCAGTGACGTGTTAGCTACCTGAATATGGATATCAATGGGGAGATTCTGGGCCTTTTAGAGCACTGGAGATTGTTTTACTTGGGCTTTTTACTGCTTGGGATTCGACTGGTTAGTTAGGTTTAAAGGATTTCCTCTCACAGACTTTAAATGCATTTCTCCCTTCCAATGCTTCACGGTCCACTGAAGCTCGTAAACAACAGGCGATAACTCTAGGTAGGCATGCTTGATTGCTTGCTATCTATATAAGATTAATTAAGCAGCCATTAGATTGTTTCAAAACAAGTACTATAGAGAATAGAGTTTTCAAAATTCTACAGTAGTTCTCCAAAGCTTAAGCTTCAACACCTGACTATTATGAATTGTTTCAAATAACCGACGTAAAACTAGGCTTAATTAGAGCAACGTAGGGGAATCCTTACTGTACTATTAGCGTGGCAAATTATTAATTTCCGCAACTCTGTAATAGTGTTGATCATTTCTCTCTTCGTATCAAGACCTTGGTGTCATGACCTTCAATCTAGAAGACTCATTTGTTCCCTGTACAAAGCAGCTTCCTCGTTCATGACTTCCGCCGACCTTGGCTTCCGATCGGAATCCTCGATCCTTGGGAACTTCCCCTCCTGCACCGGTCGATTCTGGTCCCAAAATCCGCCTCCGACATTCCCTTCCTCGGTTTGAAGTCGATCGTAGAGTCCATCCCCTTCAGTTGAATCTTTCGTTCGGGGGATTATATGACAATGGACATGGGGAACAGTCTGACCTGCAAATTTCCCGTCCTGGACTAACAATACGTTAGGGCAATTTAGATTGTCAGGCTAGACTTCATGGGATTGTACTGGTGATATTAAAGCTTCCATCCTCAGGTTTTCCAGCTATCGTCTCAGTGCCGAAATACTTCTTTGCTAGCATCTTCTGGACCTTTTGAACCGTCGAAAAGAGATCGGTGACTTCATCTTGGGTAAGCTCCGTAAGACGCTGGACTTTTCGGTATGGAATGACCAATACGTGACCAGGCAGAATTGGCTTGATGTTAACGAGGGAGAAGCATAGTGACGTGTTGTAGAAGACCTGAGAAGATGACAGATGAGCTGAAGAACTCCGATTCTTGAAACGATCTACAATTACCTGATCCGTGACTTCAAACGGCCCAAAATGGACAACTTTTTTAGAACTCATAGCGTGAGCGAACTGTGGCCGTGTAAAGATCCTTCGCAAGGTCATAGGTAATCATTCCCCTGTGTCTCCAAGCCTTGAAATTAATTGAGTAGGTGCTTCTTGGTAATTAAACTTTCTCTTTGTTTGGAAAATAAAATTGAAGAAACTAAAACAGGCATCATTCGAAGAGGTTGTATATATTTAGGCCTGAGGCACTAAAATCATAGTCTGCTTGGCAGGGATAACCCAATACGTCCATTTCTATATTGGTCACGACGAATGACACAATATATTTCTAGGAGGAGATGAGGAAGGCGCTCCAAAGTTCGTCCGAACTTTGATATATTGTTGCTTACGAGTGACGTGATAGTAATACCGGAGTACAGGTATAAAGTTATATCTTCCTCTCCTTCGTCACGATGTTTCCTTTCACTAGACTTTCTTCAGTCGCTCACTATCGTTCAAGTCTTTTCTTCCTCTCGTATCTTCACTCGAAGACTTCTACTCTCATTTCAGTCTTGAGAAGCTTCCTTGTTTCAACATGTACAAATCATCCTTAGTTCTCGCTGTATTCTTGAACCTGGTCGCAAGCAAGGTTCTTTGGGACGGAAGGTTCAATAATGTTACGTTGGTGACTGATCTCGAGTTGCCCGACTCTCCTTATGAATATATTAGTGTAAGTTTCTTTCTATTTTGAATCTTAAAATGTGAACTAATCGTCAACAGCACGGGTGGAGAAGCATTGAATCTTATATCGACCTTGATCCAATCTTCAAGAACCAAGCCGATCAAAAAAGCGCCAGAGGTGTACGGTTCACATTAGATCTGTTCTCATTTTACGCGAATGACTCAATAACTTCAAAGGAAGAGCGAAGGACCGATCTGGTTCCTCAGAACCATGTCCCGATCGCTATAGGTGGTGAGGTTGGTAAGGTATTCTACCACTTCAGCTTGGCGCGTGAGAGAGAACGAGCACCAGCAATAGAAAGGACAACTCAAATGGCTTTTTTCGAATCTCACTTTACAGAGATGACATATGGGTACAAGGAGGGGGCTGAAGATAGCGCTGCTTCATTGTTGAGATGGGACGTAGAAGGTACTACCATGTGGGACACGACCTTCGAGGCCAGGGAGTGGCACAATATTGCATATGAAGTAGACTACGACGAGGGGACAGTAGGATTTTGGCATTCGACTGGAGCCGATGACCTGGTTCTGAGAGTCAAACCTGTCCTGGTGAACAAGGGTGTTATTCCTACTCGACGAAATTGGCACCTGGGTTTGCGCGAGCTCACCCGCGAGAACTACAACGTGTATAATACGACGATGGTCTACTATAGCGGAATTTATATCGAGAATGGGACGCTGACTACGACGGTTTCCGGGCCTGGCGAAATTATCAAACCTGACCCAGCAGCTACCTCCACTGATTATGCTACGTTCACTAACTCTCCCACTCCCCGTCCTACTACTACGAGCACCTCAAAGTCGGCACCACCACCAGCACATGCCACTCCTACTCCAACCCCCATTTCATGAAAGAGGGGGATCGAGAAGAGGTCCAAGTATCCAATTTTCGAGTTTCGGGGTGATGGCGAGTACCGATGCGGGTACATGTTCTCCTGGAGATCATTAGCAGTCGCGATTTTACGGATTTTACGAGTTATGATTAGGTGGATATTTCTGAAATAAAATTTCATGATACTTAATAGCTCTTCTTTGTTGATGTGCAGTTGATTATAATTTCACAATGAAGCTAATTTCACAATGAAGCTAATTTCACAATGAAGCTAATTTCACAATGAAGCTAATTTCACAATGAAGTTACAGGTGAGCCACAGTCTGATTATCACAAAGCAGATATGAAAAGTAGTAAATAGCTGTTATGGAAGAATTTAAACACTCGGTTGGCGAACTCGGTAGAGTAAATATACAGTCGCGTAGGTAAATACTCGAACGCCAAGGAATAGAAGGGCGGACCCATCAAGAGACCCGCTTTATTTGATGGAGCAGTCGAAGTCAGGCGGAGTGAGTGATGAGTGGACTCCGGAGTGAAGTGAGCCCGTTCCTTCCATCTCTCGACTCCTTCCAAGTCTGTTCAGACAACACCAACGGCCGACATTGCAACTGCAGGTGCAACGTCGATTGTGTGGGCATTTGCTTTCCGTTCTTTCTTTTCCTTGCGCTTAACTCTTAACTTGTTGCACTTTATATTTTAACTAATTGACAGCTCAAGAGCCCGAAAATGGCCCAAGGGGCCGTGGCAGCGATGGCAGTGACGCCGGCAATGGCGCCTACTGGCGATGCGAATGCTCTCGCAGGTCTGTCTGCAGAGGAGCTGCGCGAAATGCTGGAGTACGAAAAAATTGTGAAATTCCGCGATGCGGTTTTGGCGGGCACGCACCCACGCGTAAAAATCCCTCCGCACCTCGCGCCAAAGACGACTCGAAATTTGTCGTCCCCCTCGACGACGACTATCTCGCATACGAATAGCAGCCCACATCCTCCTTTCCCTCCCCCTACACATGCGACACCACAGATACAGACGCAGACGCAGACATCTCAGAACGGCGACTTGTCCTCGCACAGTACGAGTACGTCGACTAACAACCACCGTCCAGCTGCCAGCAATCAGATTGATCCTATTTTTCTGGAAAAGTCGGATGATCTGATCAAAGCTGAAATGACTCTACAACGAGTGCGACTCGAGCGTGCATTGCGGGACCAGATTGAAGACCAGAAGATCAAGAATAAAGCCTTGGTCCAGATGTCCGAAGCGCTGCCCAATTTCAATATTTCTGATGTCTTGCTGCAAGCTCAAGCTCTTGTCAATCCTTCTACTTCTGCACAAGTCGAACCGGTAGTGGCGGCTGATACTCCTGCGGATGATTCATTTGATGAGAATACATTCTATTCCAGCCAACATGACAGTTCAGAGTGGTCAAATTCACCACGCGGTCAGAAAGACCCGGCTGATAAACTGTCGCACGATATCGTGTCTGTTGACAAGCGTCCTGGTGAGATTTCTCCTCCAGATCACGGAGTCCGAGATACAGAAATAGTCAAGTCATCACTATCTACTACAAATAACCAAGCAGAAGCCCGTTGTCAAGCCCCAGCCTTACCGCCTTCAGAAACCCAGCGTCAATTTCCTGGACTGCGATATCCAGAAAATATACCCCCCCAGAGAGCAGGTATGACTAGTACGAGTACACAGGCGATGTCAAACCAGCAAATGTCGGGAAGCGAGAGCGATCAAGCTTTTAACAATCCAGCAAGCAGCACTGCCCACGCTGCTGTACAGGACACAACCGATCAGCTCCTTCGTCAAGCATTTGATCATGCTCGACCGCCGCCTCTTATTCGTGCCCATAATCTCTCCCCAGTGGCTCCCCAGCCCGCTCGAGTTTCTCCTCTAGCTACTGCAAGAGAACCTCCCATACTTAGAGAGAATTTGCTTGCTGACGAGGCTCCACTTGCCCAGGTTGCTGCTCTGCGCGCCGAGGAGCCTGCAGGAATCTCAAGCGCAGACAGCTCCCCAAGGGGGCCAAAGAGTTCCGAAAAGAAGAAATCTCGGTCGGAGAAGAGACCTAATAAGCGCAAGGCCAACAGTGGTGACACCCCAAACTCCCCATACATCAAACTGGAACCCAAATCACCCTCACCATATGCTGTAGCACCTCTTCCCCGACCGCCAAAGAGACAACGACAGCAGGACCAGTATGCTGCCGAGCTCAACTACGACGACCAACCCAGGCACGAAGCACCAATTCGTACTAGAAGCCGCCCGGAGGAAATAGTTGAAGGGGCACGAGCTTCTCGGCCATTCGAGATCGTCGAAGATCGATACGAACCAGAATTTCGCCAGCCAGATAATGCCTACCGCCGGATAGAGAGAGAAGACGAAGGCTACAGACGAGTTGTCCCCGACGCTTTAGTACCAAGACCACGCTCTCCAGTAGACATGTATGCTGCGCCATATTCTGGCGAGTCTCACCCTATCAGAGCGGCTTCGCATGCATTGATCGAGCGAAGAGTTGAGGAGCCTAGGTATTACAAAGACCTCGGCCCAAGGACAATTGTAAGGCCAGATGCAGATCGCGAAAGATCTAGATCTCCTTCAATGCGTGATACTAGACCACTGCCAATGGGCCCACCTCGACGGCCTGTTCGTATTGTGTTGGATGAGCATGGCCGCGAGTACTATGATCCAGGACCAGCTTACGCTCCAACGCCATCCTCGAGTTATAGACAATCAGTGGCGCCTCCTTCTCGATATCGTGAAGGGGATATCGTGTACGAACGAGCTCCAGTAAGAGCAGTATCAAGTCGTGTAGCAACAGAATATGAAGAGGATGGTGTCATCTATCGCAGGGGGTCTTCGTTGTCTGCTGCTCCTAGACGTGTTGTGACCCAACCGGAATACGCAATGGCACCGCCAGCTGAGTATCGGTCTTATCGCGAAAGGGAGTACTCTGTCCGTCCTACAGCAATGGCACCCCCAGGAGACGAATACACCCCAGTTCGGGCACCAGAGTTTCGACATACCAGCCAGTATGATGAGAGCCCTCGAGAGTATATTCCTCGCCCCCCTATCGAAGGAACCCCTATCGAATATGCGTCGCGTCCTATCAGTGTTCGACCAGAGGCGGTCCGGTACGAAGTACGTGGAGAAGCACCACGCGAATATGCTAGAGCCCCCAGTGTTCGACCAGAAGCAGTTCGGTACGAGATTCGAGGAGAGCCTCTTCGCGAGTATGGAAGAGCTCCTAGTGTTCGACCGGAGCCTATCAGATACGAGACTCGTGAAGAAGCGTATGGTTCAAGAGCCATGAGTGTGCGACCTGAAGTCAGATACGAGCCCGCACGAGAATCCTATATTAGTCGTGTCAGTGTACGGCCAGAGGTACCGCCAAGAGAATATGCAAGTAGTGTTCGACCTGAAGCGCAGGATGATGGCCATATTCGCCGGGGAGCAATGGCACCGCCCAAAGGAGAACGATATTATGAGGAAGCACCCCGATGCCGGCCGTCAGAGATTGCATTTGTTGAGAGGCCTCGTGCGAGGGAGTCATCTGTTGTTGCTTACGCGGATGATGTTAGGAGAGAATTGTACCGATAATCGAAACAGGTAATGAATGGATGGATGTGGGATTTATTTGGTGGTGGATTACGAAAATTGTCAGAGTATTGACGATGGATTGACGAATCCGTACAAGAAAACAGTTTGGTGTATAGCGATTGTCCATTCTCGCCGTGTTTTCGCCACGGCGATGAGATATGGATCTTTACAATTGTAATTAACACAATCACCCGTCGGTGGTTTTTCCTTTGTCTCGAATACAAGATTAGGTATAAGTTAGATCCGCACGTCTACCTGACAATCTACATTCATCAATTTGCAGGGCTTCTTGAGGAGCGAAGTCAAAGATGTACTTCAGATAAGCATTACGTCGTCATTTTCCTTCCTTACGTGTTTGTGTTACTATGTTCTTGTTCTATTCTGCTGCTCCCTACTTTTGAAGGTACCCAACGCCGACATAGACACCCGTGTGTCAGGTGATTGCCTTTCGCCCATCCAATGTTTTCTGGAGGGATTTTGGTGTTCATTGTGCCTACTTGTATTTACTGACCCTGCTACAGCGGCCATCATGTTCCAACGTACGTCTTCGCCGCTGAATTGCTGCCGTCCGCTACCCACGGCGAGGTTCAAGATCCGCGGGTGATGGCCGTGAATCCTTGTACTGTTGGGTTCGTTCCTCGGACCTTCTCTTATCTGCTGGAAAAAGCGCCGGCCGCCTCGCGGAAAACTTTTTTGTTTTTTCCTTACGACACAACAAATCCCTGGTCGAAATGTGAATTCTCAATCATCCCGTACCTCCTCATCCGGGGTAAATTACAGAGGACCTCATTGGACCACCCACTCTAGTGAGGGGCAAGATAAGGTAGAGGTTGCCTGTGGTGGCCTATCCAAGATCCATCAACGTTACAGTAGAAGTGTGTTCCTCGATTTGGCGTAATCTACAATCTAGGAGAGCCTGGTGATAATGGGAGTCCGCAAAAGTTCTGGAGTGAATGGGGGTGGACACTACGATAAGAAGAGTTTGAACCGAGATACGCTTTATTATGCCTCTTTAAAAAGGGAAGTGAATTTCCCTTCACAGCCCTCTTGGTATTGTTCTATGTCGCTCTCTCCACGTTCTCGTGCTTCCAATACTACCTGGAAGGAATCGACATATTAGTGTGGTAGCATTTTGCATACTACAGGACAACCTTGAATCACACCCACCCTCGCGAATGTCCAGCATCCTCCCCCACCAATCTTACATCCAGCAACCATTTGATAACAACGGCCTTACAATTTTGATTTTTGAGCAAGCAGGACTTCCAGATGGATGCTCAAAGGGTAGGAACCTCAGGGTCCGATTCAACACCTAGGGATGGTAAGACCTTTACCTATAGAGAAGATGTTGTTTCTGGATCAGAAGAAGGCGTAGGATATGCAGGGACCGCGATGATCGTTGATCACCAGGCTGAGCGCGCTCTCTGCCGAAAGTTCGATTATCGCTTACTCCCGGTATTAGCCATTATGTATCTCTTCAATGCTTTGGACAAGGGAAATTTAGGCAACGCAAAGACTGCTGGCATGGATAAAGATTTGGGATTCAAGAAGAATGAGTATAACATAATCTTGAGTGTATTTTATGTGCCTTACGTTCTGTTTGCGCCGATTCTTGTAAGTCGCTATAATATTGTTGGCACAGATCAAGCTCACAGGATTTTAGGGTTTGGTTGGGAAGAAATATGGTCCATCGAGAGTCTTGCCTCTTATGAGTGAGTGAAAACCAGCTTTCTATAAAAAATGCAATCGGTGTTTGACAATAGACAGTGTTCACCTTTGGCTCTATGACCATTCTCACTGGTGAGTTGCGACCTTCCTTTTTATCAAGTGTTTATTAACAAGACAATAGTTACTGCAACCAGCTTTGGTGGTATGATGGCCTTACGATGGTTCCTGGGTATTGCTGAATCAGCTTTTTTCCCACTGGTGATTTACTATTTGACCACATTCTACCGAAGAGGCGAACTTGCCCGTCGGCTTGCCATTTTCTACGCGGCCAGCAATATTGCAAACGCCTTCTCCGGGCTTCTAGCATATGGCGTCTTCCACATCACGAATACCCACCTCAAAGAATGGAGGTACCTCTTTTTAATTGAAGGAGCTCTGACGGTCCTATTCGCCGTATTTACGTTCTTCTACCTCCCTAAAAACGCGAGCGAGGCCAAGTTTCTCAACGACGAGGAGAAAAGGCTCGCTTACCATCGCATCCAAACCGATTCCTCATCCACAGTGAATGAAAAGTTCAACCTCAAAGACTCTCTCAAGATCTTCGCTCAGCCATATACTTACGCCTTTCTCGTGATAGAAATCTGTCTCGGCGTTCCTCTTCAATCAGTCAATCTCTTCCTTCCGCAAATTGTCGGTCTTCTCGGTTACTCATCTGTCAAGACAAACTTGTACACTGTAGCACCCAACATTACAGGTGCAGTGATGCTACTCATTCTCGCCTTTTCTTCAGACTACACTCGTCGAAGAGGCCCGTTTATCGTCCTGGGTTTCATATTCACCTTCGTCGGCTTCATCATCTACGCCACCATTGATGTCATCCATCAGAAACATGTCGCTTATTTCGCTACTTTCATGATGTGCTGGGGAACTTCAGCTCCTTCAGTTTTGCTATCGACATGGTACAATAATAATACTCCGCACGAGGGACGTCGTATTGTACTTACCTCTGTGGGTGTGCCGCTGGCCAATGTTATGGGACTAGTAAGTAGCAATATTTTCACGCCAGATAGTGCGCCGAAATACATCCCTGCATTGGCTATGACTGCTGCTTTTGGAGCTACTGGTGCTTTGGTGGCGGGGCTACTGAGTACGTATATGGTTTTTGATAATAAGAGGAGAAATAGGAAGGCAGGACACAAATTGGATGTTAGGGATGTGCCAACCGAGATGTTAAGGGATGGACCGAAGGTTAAGGAATTTCGATGGTTCTTGTAGCCTTGTTTTCTTCCATTCCTAGAAAGAAGGAAAATGTGTATTTGAGAGCGGTAGATCGTGGCCATGATAAGGGGAAGCATAAATTTGAAAGGTTCGCGGCCATTTGTCAGAGCAAGAGTGTGTTCGGGGCTGCTGTTTATATACCTACATATTATAATTGCTTTCCAAGGACATGAAAGATTTTAATTTTCTTAGGGCAACTCATGATCAAGATGGCAGCGTGCAGACGTCCCCAATTTGTGGGATGATTTGGACTGTACGAGCTGGTGGAAGAGTTCCTATGCACAACGTCGCCCAAGATTTTCTACAAATTGAAAACTATCATGCTCAATAAAACCCCTTTTCAGAAAAGTGTCAGAAACTATATTTTACTGTATTCATTTGAATATTATATCATGGGGAGGAGTGCTTGGCTCACCATTGGAGCAGTGAATCGGAATAAAGTGATTGTTGTAGAGGTCTGGTTATGTTTAGATAACCGCCGAATTATCTTGAAACTTTTACCAATCCACATGGAAGAATAAATTTCTCACGCCTCAAATTCACTTTTGGACGATAAAATTCGAACCCCTTTCCTTTGAACCCCCCAAGCGAATTCAAGGCTGAAGTTTCTGCCTTACGCCCTAGGCGCAAACCCAAAATTCGCGTCTCCAAAACAATCAACTCATTCAAGCTCGCGTTTGGTAGACTTTTTTTTGCATCCACCACCCAATCACTTCCCAAGTTTCTCCACCCTCCCAGACGCGGCGAAATTGACGGTCGCTGTGCAATAATAATTCTCGATCCTTAAAATCATCATGGCGACTGGCGGTTTATTTGGAGGTCTCGGTACCGCCTCGACCACAAGCTCTGGCGGAGGCTTGTTTGGTAGCCTTATGGCTCCGTCCTCGAAACCGGCGCAAAGTGGTGGATTATTCGGCGGGCTGGGCTCAACTTCGACAACGAGCACTCCGCAGCAAGCTGGTACAACAGGTGCTTTTGGTGGACTTGGACAAGGATCAAGCATGGCGGGTGCGAGTACATTTGGTGGGAGTACTTTGGGAGGAGGAGCTTCAGCACCATCCGGTGGGCTGTTTGGACAACCACAACAACAAAAAAGTTCCGGTTTGTTCGGCGCGACGGGGGGAAATACGCAACAAAATGGGGTTGGTAACGTTGGGGGTCTAGGACTAGGTCAATCTACGCAGCCCCAGCAACAGCAACAGCAACAGCAAGGTCTTGCGGCTTCTCAAGGGCCCCTTCAACAATCAACTCAAAATGGTCAGAACCACGCATATTTCGATTCGATACTGGAGAAGAGCAGAAAGAGGGCCTATGGCGAGTCTGCTGGGGCGGAGCTTCCACAGTTGCAACTTGGGCTGAGCGATCTTCGTCAGCGTATAAAACGCCTGGGTTCAGTCGGTCCGGATCGCAGTGTGGATGGGAAGGCACATTATCTTCTTGCTGGTTCTGGGGTAGATCCAGGAGCCGCAGTCAGGGACTTGACCGCCTTCAATGCGACGTCTGGCAAGGTGGATAGATTACTGCAGCAACCGCAACAAATCGATACGGACGTCGAAGGTTACCTTGCGAATTTGCAGACACAAACAACGCTCAGCATGATATCTGATGGATTGGCACGTTCCGTTCGCGATTTTGATTCTTTCTTGGAGGATAATGTGACAATGGAATGGGACGCACAGCGGAAGAAGATATATCAGCATTTCGGTATTAAACCCAGGGAAGACTTGGCTGCTATGGGAAGATCAAGTTTCCAAGCTACTGCTACAGAAACTACGGGAGGGTTTGGACGATCAAGGAAGAGTAAGGCAGCAGCACATGCTAGTTCAAGAGGGACTGGACCAGCAAGTTTCAGCACTTTCGGCCGATCAAGTATGCAGAAATCAGCAATTGGAGCCCCAAGCTCGGTTGGAAAGTCAACACAACAAGCTTTTGCTGACGTTGAAAAACAAATCGAAAAGAATGGGGTGGTATCTACACCAGGCGATAGATTCCAAAGGGACAAGCAGAGCAAATATGCTGAAAAAATTCAAAGTCTCAATGTGGCACGATTAGAAAAACGCTTCTATCCAATAGCAACCAATCTAGCTGCTGTTGTCACCGAGGCCGGCGAACAGCATGGTCCCGATCTTGTCAAGGCATACAGAGCTTTGATTGAGATCGTTTCTGAAAACCCAGATGTCGAACTTTTATCGGATCCTCTTGCGGTTGCTGAACGAAAATTTGCGAAAATCCATCTAGATGATGACCCGAAGTCGCAACGTGGACCTGAACCGAGGAAGAGGATTATGCGGGGAGGTGCGAGGTGTTTTGAGAAGTTGGCTTTCGAAGAGGTGGAGGCCTTCATCAGCAAAAATCCCCGAGAAGCCAATCTAGGCGGTGTTCCGAATGTTATCAGCAAAGTCAAGGCATATGTCCGACTTCTGGCTTCGAAAAAGAATCTTTCCGGCGACAACAACGACCTTCAAATGCTCGGAGACGATCATGTTTGGGCTCTTATTTACTATCTTCTTAGAACAGGCCATGTTCAAGAGATAGTCGATTATGTGGCAGCCAATGCTGTTGCATTTAGAGCAATCGATCGCAACTTCACTTCATACATAACGGAATACTTCAGCAGTCCAGACAGAAGGCTTCGCCGCGATCTTCAAGAGCGTATAAACAGCGAGTACAGCCAGAGACTTCGAGTTGCACCAGAGAATTCCATTGATCCGTACAGAATGGCCTGCTACAAAATTATTGGCAGATGCGATTTGAAATCCCGCAACATCGAAGGCATCAGTCACACAGTTGAGGATTTCGTTTGGCTCCAACTTGTCCTCGCACGGGAAGTCAATAAAAGTGACGATTTTGCTGGCGACGCATATGGGCTGGCAGAGTTGCAAAAAACCATGAAAGAAATTGGTAGCCGATTTTTCGAAAAGGGAGGAACTGAGGTTGGGTGCTCATTTGGATCTTTCGTTTTCTTCCAGGTGGCATGCGGCATGTTTGAACAGGCAGTTTCATACCTCTATCCATTCTCATACACCGACGCAGTCCATTTGGCTATTGCCTTAAACTTCTACGGTTTACTAAGAGCTTCAGATCCAAATACAGCCGGCGAAGACCTTCTAAGTTATACAACCAGAGAAGCTCCTCAAATCAACTTTGGACGTTTGATTGGCTATTATACACGTGATTTCAGAGCGGCAAATGTTACGGCTGCTGTTGACTACCTTGTTCTTATTTGTCTCAATAAAGATATTCCAGGCCAAAGTGGTTCAAGTCAAGTCACTCTATGCCATGAGGCATTACGGGAGATTGTACTGGAAAGCAGAGAGTTTGCGTTGCTCTTGGGTGATCTTCTGGGTAACGGAGAACGGCATATGGGTGTGATTGAGCAGCGTATGGGCCTCATCTCGCTAGACAAAACCGACGATTTCATGCGGATGATCACTATTCAAGCTGCTAGCATTGCCGATGATAATGGCCGACTCACTGATGCAGTGTTACTTTATCATTTGGCAGGTGAATACAACAACGTCATGGTCATTCTCAACCGCGCTCTCAGCGAATTTCTCGTCGTGCCTGTTGGTCAAGACCCACTGCGACTTCAAACAATCAAGATGCCCTCGAATCCAAGTCAACAGCAGATTCGACTTGGCAGCTTGAGCTTGACCTCTATCGACGACCCGCAAGAACTTTCACAATCCTTAATGGGTCTTTACATGTCTGGCACGTACGAAAACAAGATGAGGGCTGAACTCCGCAACGTTAACATGACTTTGACAAACGCTTGCGCCCTAAGAATTCTCATTGAGAATGGACAATGGACTACGGCATTAGATGTAAGTCTCCCATTCATGCTGTGGTATACATTTGCTAATCAAATCCAATCAGTCCATGTCTAATTTCGATCTTATCCCAATCAACGCCAAGGGAGAACCAAGTATGGTTCGAAAGCTTGCAAAGAAGTTTCCTAATGTGGACCCTGCTCTTCAAGCCATTGTTCCCAACCTGATTTCTTGGGCGGTACAGTGCGGGAATGGAGTGCGTGCAACTTTCATGAACAGCGAATTCAGCGCAAACATTGAATCGAGACAAACTATGCTGGAACAAATCAAGCGGATGCAGCTGGATATGATTAGCTTCACGAGTCAGTTGCGGTATCGATTCCCGGCGGAGCTTCATGAACTTTTAGCGGAGGCACAGTCTTCAATGTGAGGGGGAGGGGCAATACCTAGGGGCTGGGAAGTGGGGGGCAGACGAGGGGCCCGGGAATGGTGGAAAAGAAGCTTCCTGTACTATAGGGCGTGTTGAAGGGAGCGAAACAAAACCAGTGGAGTACTAATTTAAACGCGTGGGATGTCCTTTTGGGGTAGATTACTTGCCGCTAGAATGGAGTGGTGTTGAATAGTAAAATGAAATGATGAACTCATGGTTACGTGAAAGGCACGATTAAGAAGACAAAGTCGGATAAACTCGCCAGCGCTCAATATGGGGGTTATCGGCTTTTCCGTTTATGTCTGCCTGGATGTATAGGTAGCATAGGTATATATATATGCTTTTCTTTTGTCTTTTGGGATTGACATTTACAGTTCTACCTATTCATTGAGCTGCATGAGCGGGTGGCTCCAATTCTGGGGAAAGGCCGTCCAGTCGAGTCCAGGCAAGGCAACCTAAAATTAGTCGAGCGCGAGCGGCGCTTTCTGACTCGCTCACACGAAGGTTTAAAGTATACATGACTGAAAGACCCTGCACCAACAAGAAAACGCGATCATACTTGTAACCACCAGAGCACCACCCTCACCCTCACCCTCATTCTCCTCTTTGATCGCTTCGCCCATGACCACCATCCTTCGTTAGCTTCCCCTCAGCCCCGACAAACTCATGCATGACTGTCGTGGAAGAACAGTAGGGCTGGTACAGACGGGTGATCGCAGCAGACATGGGTACACACGAGCTACAACAGCAGCAGAAACGCGACTTCTCCGAAGAGGCTGTTGCTTCAAACTCGCCGACGGATCAGGGGCCTTCTACTGATGGTAGCAACAAGAAAAGGAGGACAGCTGGTACCAGTTCCGGCTCAAGGGGCGTAGCTAATCTGACGCCCGACCAATTGGCCAAGAAGAGGGCAAACGATCGCGAGGCTCAACGTGCGATTCGGGAGCGGACGAAGAACCAGATTGAAGGGCTGGAGAGGAAGATCAGGGAGTTGGCGTCCCAGCAGCCATACCAGGAATTGCAACATGTAATGCGGCAGAAGGAGATGGTCGACGCGGAGAATGCTGATATCAAGAAACGACTGGCTTCAGTCATGTCATTGATACAACCAATTCTTGGGGGCCCGCATGGTGGGTAACTCTCTGCTCTGCTCTCCGTCTTCCTGACTTCGTACAAGTTCTGTGGATATGTACATCGCTGATACTTGTATGAGCAGGCCTAGAGAATCACGCGTATGCCCCGCCCGCAATGCCTCCTCAAGCACCGTATATTCCCAATCGACCCAGCTCTTCCAGTGTATATCCCTCGGCCTCTACAAGTGGTCTCTCGCCTGCTGGACCACCGCCATCTCCATGGCAAGCGCCGCCGAATGCCCCTATGAGCCAGGATCAGAGAGCGCATAATGCCAGCATTCAATCAGCTCAAACACATCAACTGATGAAGCAGAAGCACGATTTAGCACACAACTTGGAGATGGGCCCAGAGAGACTTGGTCTTGACTTCTTACTCGATGCAAGTCAACGTATCAACAAGATTCCTAATGGGTTGAATGGGTCACACGAGATAGGCACTTTTCAACCCAGGTCAAATAGCATCGATGCAGGAAGCCCAGTGCACAATAGAAGTAGTTCAATTGGGAGTCATGCCAACTATGGAAGTAACAGCGGAACTCCAGGTCCAGGCTCAGAGATATTGGGGCACGCAGCACCGATTCGTAACAGCCAACCAACATGCCCTCTCGACAGTCTTCTTCTCGACTTCCTTCAAGAACGACAAAAACAAGCAGCAGAAGGAGTCTCAACTCCAAAGCTTGTAGGACCAGCCTACCCTAGCGTTTCCTCTCTCCTTAACCCATCCCGTGGCGTGAACTCCCATCCTCTTTCAAAAGTATTCACCGATATCCTAGCTACATTCCCAGACCTCTCCACACTTCCAGAAAAGGTCGCCGTTCTCTATATAATGTTCCTGATAATGCGTTGGCAAATCTCCCCGACCCAAGAAAACTACGACCGTCTGCCCGACTGGGTCGCTCCCCGTGCTTCCCAACTGTTCACACCCCACCCCGCATGGATCGACCACTTGCCTTGGCCGAAAATGCGCGATCGACTCGTGCGTGACTATAACCCTAAAGATTACCTATTTGATAACTTCTTCATCCCTTTCACCACGACTTTGAGTCTCAATTGGCCTTATGAGCCGACGGATACCTTGTTGAGCTCTCCGGAAAGTGATGATCTGATGATCAATCCGGTTTTTGAAAGGCATCTGAGACGGTTGGAAAATTGGAGTCTGGGACCGGCTTTTGCCAAAGAGTTTCCAGGGTTGGCGGATACGTATCGGTTGAAGAGCGAGGGGGATAGACGGGAATGATCTGGCTTTACTTCCTATCCTCGCTTCGGGATATAAGTCCTTGTCTCTTTTTTATTTTATTTTGGTCTTTTGGTACCAAATTTTTTTCTCGACACAAAAGCTTTATTCTTCTCTTTAGTGGTCTTTTCGGGATGGATGTGCTAGGTTGGATTGGACTGGGTTGGGCTGTTTGTACTTATAGGATTCTTGGTGTTAGGGTTCTACAAAATAAGGGCTTTTCTAAGGCGATGCCGGGGCATGACTTGGTATGGCTGGGGACTTTTTAAGGAGTAGAAAAGGGGAATTTTAGGGGAAGGAAATTGGATTGGGACCTGGGAAGGAATGGGGTGGCTAGCCTAGGCTTGAGGACTAGTAGTAGACAATTGTAGAATGTTTGTCTTTTTTGGAAAGGTATACATATGTTCTGTTCACGTATATGCCAGGTGACTGGGGGGTGGCATAGTAATTCCTCGATGGCTATGTAAGGCTTGCAACTCAGATGAGTGATGCTGTATGGAAGAAAGTAAGACGATTTTTCTACTACCACCAGCTAACTTTCTTCAAGAAAGCGTCTAGACCTCCATGGGTCCTTGTGGACAGAAAAGCTACAGTAATAGCATAAATGACATTATGACAGCAAGGAAATTCCTCAACTCAAAAGTTTTCTATGCAAAGATGATCAAGGTACAGTAGTGATCCACGCAGGAAATTCTTGTTTTATCCTTTACTTTTATAGAGTGTGAACAGGGTTTTTTTTGATCTCACTATGGTTAATTTATAGAGCCGCTTTCTTCTGTGAGCACGAGGTGAACGGCGGAAATTGTTGTATAGTACTTAGCATTCTTATTATGGTAGATTTCTTTGTGCGATATGGCTTTGGTGATGATGAAGATGGTAAAACTCAGTAGTTGAGGAGTCAGATTAGTGGAGTAGTTATCTTGGGATGTTGTCCAAGTGGAAAATTTGTTGCCGGGCTTCTCGTCGAGGATTTTGTACTTACTAATCGGTTCCCGCACAGTAACATCTGGGAAACACACCTCCATTCTCTCATGAGTCTTAAAGTATTTGGTTGTATTTGGTTGAATGTTCCTCCACTGAGTGGAGTCCAATTCCAGACAGTGTAAGTTGTTATCCAGCAATTATAGGGGGTTGGAATTATTCTAAAGAGAGGGAAAGCTCTTATTTTTGTATTTACAGTCTTTGAGACCGGGACAAGAGTATGGTTGGGGGTTGCTAAGTGGATAGGGATATTCACTTATTGAGATTAAGGTTTATATGAGTGGGTAAGGTATAACACGGGAAGGATTTAAAGAAAGGGAATCCTAGATTAAGATTCATTATGTCCTTTTGATGTCGGTAATTGAGGACAATACTTCTCTTGAGAATTACCCTCTCACGAAATGTAATTTTAGATAACAGTGTCTTCGTCTAAATAATTATATTGCCTCAGAAGACTCGCTTAAATCGTCCCACGCCCGTGGATGCTGATTGGATAGACCCCGCCAAGTGGGGCAGATTGACATCTTCGCAAGCAACCTCACCTCCACCTTCAAATTACTTTAACAAAACAATTCACCAGATACAACCCCGGATACTTCAATACTGAGCGAGTTATGTCATCGCTATATATAAGCCCTTGAGCACTTTCGACGGCGAATTCCGAAATGATGGTCTATAGGTAAGTGTAGGCATAGGTAACGTAAAAGATCTAGTATATATTGTACTATACCATAGGTAAAGGGGGTGGACAGTCAATGCTGGACATTGTCACGTAGATCATATGTGAAAAAAGTCTATATCTTGCAAATCCGAGTCTTTGGTTGGCTGGTTTAGCTAAAAGGCGCGGCGGAGACGTACTATGATCAGCGACAGTGTCCAGCATTGAATGTCCACCCCCTTTATGATCCTTTCTTTGGCTTAGGAATTTTTCTTATTGGCAGCGATTGACTGTGTTATTGAATCGGGCTGATTGAGATGGCAGCGTTTGTCTTGCATGCGATTGTGGAGAGTAGAGCTATTTTAAAGATTATTGAGTTTATCGACGGCTGTCCCCGACTTCCGAAGTCGTTAAGACACCTCGTTTGCCTGAATTGCCAGTTGCGTGAGTTGTATTTCTACAGAGTGATATTTGAGTATCTATCGTATGCTCGATGGGGAAGAGAGCAGTCAGTTGTGTTCTAGGATGCAAGTTCCAACCCGATTTCGTTGAATGGAGGACTGAGATAAATATCTTAATCTGGAAGATAGTGCTATGGAGAGATCCATCTTCTACCACTCGCTATTCAATCGTTTCATGGTGGAGGGACTCGGGTAGATATACTACTTCAAGTTCCTGGAACAGGAAGGTCATTTCCAAATCTGCGCAGAGTCGTATTGATGGCGATTCACTGCTAGATGGTGCTTTCCACGTATAGAACATGGCGCGGTTTGCGACATTACGCTCATTGAGCTCATCTCTTCTGTTGCTACATATAGGTAGCTTGCTAGTGAACGGCTCTTTCTCTTGATCCTGTCCAATTGCGATATGCCAAAGTGGAAGGCACTGTCTTGAGCTAATTTCCCTCGCGACTTCCCTATCAAAGTCGGAGCAGGTTCTTGACATTTGATTCGTCATCCAATCCGCCATCCAGGTCCTCACGAGGCAGTAAGTTGCGCTCCTGGTCTGGTTGCTCAGCCATGCTGCCGTTGCTAGCCACGCTAGCGCCAGCGGCCTAGCGCAACCTTTGGTTATTTAGCTCATCTCCTGCCTCCCATCCAACCTTCTCCAAAACAAAACACCGCGCACGAGAACAAGCTTTCTATTTCTTCCCACAACCACTATTTCTCGCGTCAATACATTCGTTTGACCTCGATAATACTCAATACTCTGTACTTCATCACCCAAAACATCTACATCTACATTCTACAACCGTCAAGATGCGTTCCGCAACTCTCTTCGTCGCCATCGCCAGCCTTGGTCTTGCTGCTGCCCACTATGGATCGACTGTCACCCAGACATCGGTCTCGACCATCTTGAGCTGCGGCCTAGATGTCCATAGCTGTCCAGGTCATCCAAGCAGCAGCGCTCCAGCTCCACCTGTTGCAACTCCCCCTGTTGTCGCTCCCTCAAGGTAAGACGTCGATGTTGAATCAATTGATGCGTTCAAATTGACTGACTGGCTTTCAAAGTGTCCCTTGCGAGTCGGCTCCGGCACCACCTGCTAGCTACAGCCAACCACCTCCACCAGCAAGTAAGTAATGCTTTCCTTTGTCATTCCACCGAGTCTCGATCTGGTTGCCGATTTTCATTGCATGATTGAATATTTGTACTCATATATTCCAGGCTCCCCAGCAGCACCTTCAAGCGCCCCTGCTCCACCAGCCACCTATAGCCAGCCTCCAGCTCCACCTGCAAGTAAGTAACGTTCTTCTCTACCAATTCAACAAGTCTAATCGTTTCTTTTCTCAATCTGAAACAAAAGTAATCAAAGTACTCACGTATTGTAGGCTCTCCGGCACCAGCCCCAAGCCCAAGTACCCCAGCTTCACCACCACCTGCTGGTTACAGCCTACCACCTCCACCAGCAAGTAAGTTAAGCTTTCCTTTGTCGCTCCACCAAGTCGATCTGATCGGCCCTTCTCATTAAATACATGAGTATTCATACCTGCAAAATCAGGCTCTCAAGCACCAAGCCCAAGTGCGCCAGCACCATCAGCCAGCTCACCTGCTCCGGCTTCAAGTGCTCCTGTACCATCTCCAAGCGCCCCTGTTCCAAGTGGAAGTGCCCCTGCCCCATCACCCTCTGGGCATGGTAAGCAATCCATCGACTTACCTTTTCCACTCCTCTTACTGTGCTACCAAATTCACGGGCTTTGCTATACTAGTTGCTCGGGAAGATTTTGCAGAATCACAAGATCACAGCTCAAATTTCACTATCCCTTCTCAATATATTTTCAGTTGTCATAGAATATTTAGGAAATCCTTGACAATGACATGCTAATATGTCACAGGCTCTCCACCTGCACCAGCTCCATCTGCCAGTACCCCTGCTACAAGCGAGACTGCACCTGCTGCTTCACCTTCTGGTTATGGTAAGTACTCTATCCATGGAATTTTCTTTCACTAGCCTGCCTTGTTATGCTCGTTATGCTCGTTCTGGGAAGGGATACTTTTATATTACCCTACAATATTCAGCATAACCCTTGGCGATAATATGCTAATACATCATAGCCTCGCCACCGGCTTACACTTCCACTGCTGCCAATGAAGATTACTCGCAAAGCGCTGCTCCGACTGGTTCATGGCCACACACAAACTCCACTATTACCACCGTTCAAACCCCAACGGCAGCACCATATACACCACCACCTCCAGCTACCTCCGCACCCGCCACCGCTCCGGCCTCAGGTGCCTCAAGCAACATGTTGGTTTCTGGTGTATTGATGGGCTTAGTCGCCGTTGGTGCTTACGTCCTCGCTTAATTTTTCGAATCTACCTGTGATGTGATATTGAAGATGCCACCTTTGTCAGGCATATACGTCACTGCATAGTACGATTTGTATGATAAGATGACAAATTTTCAATTGGTCTAAGGAGAGGAACAATTAATAACGTAATGGTGGAAGATAAGGGCGAGGGATCTTGTCTGTTTTGCGGAAGATACCACAATAGTGCTTTGCTCTACTTTGCATATTGCCTTCACTTCTTTTGAAAGCATTTCCTGCAAAAACAGGCATAATGGAAATTATTGAGGTCTAAATAAATCTTTTTGACTTTTGATACCATGTGTGATTGACAAAGGGTGATATCAAGAACTTTGGTCTTTACCCACTCCACGTTATGCTCCGCACCGTATCTCGGATTGGGAAATTTCGACAATGCTCACTGGTACTCTTCTAAGTATCGATAGTTCAGAAGAACTACGCTAGTAAAGTATTAAGCTTTCCTAAACCTCCTGTTTTGAACTTTTGATAAACCCCGAATGTTCTTGCCTTCAGGTAGCCGATCTTGTTAATAAGTTTCAAATAGTTTGAATTGTCTCCTGGAGTGTTCGTGAAATTGAGGGAAATACCGTAAGCTGTTTGGAGGGTTGAAGGGAAGGAGGTGGGGGTAAAAGGGGAGGGGGGATATAGTGGCTTTGGATAGCTGAGTTGGAAGTAGATTAGGGGTCCCGTGTTTCTAAAAAGAGACTGGGGAGATTTGAGAGTGTGTTGATTGGCGGGTCTTGGTGTGATGGGGTGGAATTGTTGGTGGGGTTGAGGCGGGGAGGTGGGTGTTGAGTGTTGGGTATCAGGTATTGGGTGGGGGAAGAGCTCAAGGTTGTGGGGGGCAATGTAGGAGAAGGTGTTTGGGAGTTTGTTCATGGATTCCTCTGTGGTGTGAAGTTGAGGCTTTTAGGATTAGGTAAGGATTGTGAGAGAGGGAGACACATTAGGAAGGCGGGAAAATGTAAGTTGGAGCTTGTGGTTGTACTATAATGAAGATTATGGTGTGAGGAAAGAGGGGAGAGGAAGTGGGATATTATGGATAGGTATTGGATTCTGAGAACTACCATGTATGTTTGTATTGAAGATGAATGTTACAGGGGACATGTTATTATTATGTGTGTACAACAAGTGCAAAGGAGAAAGAAGGCAGAGAGCAAGCGAAAGGGCCTCTGATCTTCCAGACCTGTAATCTTTCGTAGGTGTGTTCAGCTGTGGATAGTAGAGGGCAAGAACAAAGAAATGGACATAGTGTTGGATCGCTTGAATATGTACAATAGCATATGGTGAAAGCCCTGCAAATATAAAGAAGGATCATGATCCGGAGGCACGGACAGATTCGTTGCAAAGTGTCTTTCAAAAAGTCTACCCAAAGGATGTTGTAACTAATTCAATTCCCAACAACGAAGGAAATTGACATCAAAAACCAAAACAAGATTCCTCCTGGTGTCGATAATAATACAGTAATGAAATTTGTGTGAATCAACTCCTTCAATACCCTTCCATGCATCAATGCCTGATTGAAATCCGCCTTCGAGTCCAAGTGTAAAGTCAAAAAAGTACAATCCAGAATGATGAAACATAGCAGAAAGCGATACCCAAGACCTAATCCCACCAAGAAAAGAAAGACAAGCCCCGAATTTTCACCATGTCCTTATCTTCTGAACGACTAGAACCCAAGTCCTAGATGGAATCTAGGAAGAAGTCCCAGTACTCAACGGTCAAAGGATGGCAGACCCCACACATCTATTCCTCAACAGAAACGCTCCATTCTTCAGACCCCTTATTGCGACCCTTGCCATACAGTCTGTTCCAAATGAACTCTGCTTCTCCCCTTGGCAAATCTGCAAGTTTATCTAAAAAAGACTGATCCGGACCGAAAGGAAAAGGACGATGTTGAGGAGGCCCTTGAAGCAGCATTTGAGGGTTAACACGACCAAACATAGGGAAATGGGCTTTTTCTTTTCTTTCCAATTGGCCGAGAAAAAGAGGTACTTGTCCCGTGGAGTCCTCGTTTTCACTATCGATTTCGAGTTCTGGGACCTTGAGGGTAATGGGGGTGCGGCGGACGTGTTTGTGATCATGGCTGTGATGATGGAAGACGGCAGCCGGTCTGGCATGCGCTCCTCCTCCCCCACGAAGGAAACCCAAGTTGTTGTTGTCATCGTCTCCATGACTGGCTGGGGGCGGAAGCATCGGTCGCTTACCACCACCGTTCCCACCTCCGCCTCCAGAAGCAGCAGCGACCCCTTCTTTGATCAAAGCTTTCAACCTTGCCTCTTCCTGCTCCTTCTTCTCTGCCCTGGCTAGACCAGCTTTCTCCCCCTTTTTGAACTCTTCTTCTCGAACACCGCGTAGTAGTTCCTCCTTTTCACCCTCGGCGACTTGAGACTCCAACCTTCTGACTTTCTCGGCAAGCTTTCGGACTTCTTCTTCTTGGTGTCTGAGTTCCTCATATTGAGCTGCATGGTGGGCGCGGGAGCGATGGGGTCGGCGAACGGCTTGGTAATTGGCTCCCGCGAACCAGATCTGGTTGCTCATTTTGCGTGGATATTTGAGAGTATGACGGTCGCGGGTTTCGATCGTATACTCCAATTGGTTGTGGAAGGGCATTGCAGGTTTCGCGTTGGGAGTGAGCTCAGTCTCTGAGGAGAGAGAAATGTCTGTGAGGTTGAGAGATGTGGGGGTTGACGAGATGAAGAGAGGCTTATTTGTAATTGAAATCCACTGAAGATGGAGACCTTCACATGGGTTCAGTTCCCTTGCATCTACTTCAGTTCATGCAATGTAATGAAGGTTCTCTGGACTTCTGGGGAACCACCAGGCTTCCGCTTCCACTTCCACTTCCCCGGTCTCCCAAATCTTTCTTCATTGATGTCTGATAGGGTTTCTAAATCTCTTCGTTCCCGGAAGTAAGAAGAACCATGTGGGTATGACTGACCTTCCATATTCCCGTTCCCAAGGGTCTTCTTGAGCCGTTGGGCTCTGCTTTCCCAAAGCTCAAAGAAGTCCGTGTCAGAACTTCCCAGGCCTTGCAATGTTTCATACCCCTCTCTTTAGAATGCAGCACAGCATTTGGAGAATCAGAGGTCCCTTCTAGAAGCGGAATGAATTTCCAATAAGAGCGTGCGAATATGCAGTCATCCCGTGCTGCATGTTTCCGTCCCACACACCTGGTCGTGGGGTTTCGTTTTTGTAACCCAAGAGATTGGAATTCTTCTTTATCTCCTCGAATTGTTTGGAAAAGTGCATTCCTTCGTCTCGTTATGTGGCTGCAGTACGCGCAACTCCCTGGCGTTGGAGCTGTGAGCCTCACAGGTGCATGGTATGCAGGATATCGGTAACCTTTCGAAGACCTTTGGGAAAGCCGAGGGCAGGACATCTTGATACTCATATATCTTTTTGGTGTAACTTCTGCAAGTACCCAAAAGCAGTTAGGGAAATGAGAAAAATATAGTAGTAAGCAACTAGCAACGGAGTGCATTAGTTTTGCATCCACACAAAACCAACCAACGAGAAGACTTACTAATATAAATCTTTCAGACCTCTTGGCGACAGTGAAAACCGACTTGGTAATTTCGCAAGTTTGTCAGATGTTCGAACGAGATATTCATTGCTCCTATACATCTCTGTAATTCTCTTGAATCCAACTTCCGGTTAAACCCAAATTAAGCTACAAAGTCTTCCATTCCTTCAAAGAGTGGCTATTGCGCACCTGTAACCCGTCGTTGAGACTTCATTATCACTTTGAAAGATTCCTCAATTGTTGATGACTAAAATGACCCTATCCGTTCCACAACTCGCCCTAGTTTCGATTCCGGCAAGCGAGAACCCGAATGCTAAATCTCCTTCTCAGCAAATGATCTCCTTGCCAGCCGCAGGTTTTCCTGAAACGGCTTTGGGCTATGGGAACTTGTATGCGCTATGTGCTGCAAATGCATAAGCTACTCGTAAATCCATTGTTGCGTATGTTTTTGCATTGAGATGCAGCCTAGGATGCTCGACGGGATAAGTACTTCTTGAAATGACCATGGCATTTGCACCTTCTGAGACATAGTTCACACTTCTGGCTTGTGCGGGAGAGATATTTGCAGAAGATTCTTCTAATGTTGTCGAATGTTCTTGCAGGTGTCATCGCGAAGCTGTCGATTCTTGCAGACTCTGTGCCTTTCTTCTTGTTTTTAGCTGCGAGAAATGGTCATGCTTTCATGTAGTCACAAGAAGTGTAAGATTACCATCAGCCTTTGAGAACTAAACCGTGTAGATAATTCGTAAACGAGAGCTCCAAATTTCCAATGATTCCAAGTGTTATAGCACAATCAATTTCACAATTTTATTAGACGGGATGATTAAGTCACAATAGTTTTACACCAGGACTCATTTTGGTTCTTTACCGCAATTTAGGAGGGCCTTTTTGGTTGAAAAGTGGGGCGAGTAAATAGCACCAGGATATTACGCCGAATCAGAAAAGTAACAGTTCGGCCAATTTATATACTCTTGTTTAGTTTAAAGAGTTCTTTTCACAACGATTTCCTTAGATTAATTAGAATCTGGTATGATTAATACATTAGTTCTGGACTAATTACATAATATAGGTAAATCTCTTCTCCCCTCTAGCAATATATCCTTCGCTAGAATTTCAACTGGTACTACTTCATATATCCCAAATCAAGCCGTTCTATACACAATCTCCAGAATAATGGGTATGCAAAACTCATATTTTCAATGACGTGGTCTTTACGAAATACACAAGTGGAAGAAAGTGGAAGTGATTACAACAAGGGAACTTTCCGCAAAAGCGAGACCGTGTACGACTGTCTACCTTTACTCGACTATGAAACCAGGATCATCTCTCTCCATGTTACTTTGTACCATAACCAAACCTTACAGTCCTCACTCACACGCATCATGTGGGATAAATTAAGTACAGTATGAAGTCATCTTCTGCATGTAAGCAAATGTAGGGAGCCTTTTTCCTGGCGGCAAGAAATTTTCCACTCGATGTTTCCGATTTAATGCATCACGATTGTAGACTTTTTTCTGCCAAAGTAAAATCCAGTATGCATATGAATCCCCCATCGCACCTCCATTTCGTTCCTCCTACAATCTCTTCGATATACTCCAGAAAACCGCAGAAAGAAGAGTCAGTCAGCCTTCCTACGACACAAAACTCCCGCTCCATACTAAGCACCGACCATTTCTCCAATTTCAGTCTAACTCCAATAATCTCAGCAGTAGAAGATGATCCAAGCGAAATTGTAAGATTATATTCCTCCCAACCCCTTTTTTCTCCCTCACCCAACGAAAGAGTTCAGACGATTGATCCAGTTTTACAGTGTTTTGAATCATGTATCGCGCAATGCGCAGACCCCAGTTCGCACCTGTTTGTGGACCCGATCCTGGAGGATACTGTTCCGATTATTGTTTTTAGGTGTTGGTTGGGAAGGAAGAGAGGGGCGGATGGGAGATGGAGATTATGTGCTGGATCCTGGCTCATATGAAAGGATGGGTTGTGGGAACATGTCTGGGAGTGTTGAGTAGGATACGATATTTGGAGAGGGGTGGTAGTATTCATGTGCTCGGCATGTAAGATTTGAAGCACCCAGTCAAATCCAATTCAAGAGTATTCATGAATTCTTGACCCGTAAAATCCAGAATCCTTTTGAGCGAGTATCCCGTCACGTTTGCATGCCGCATTCTACTCGTAGGTACCGAGTAGCTACTACCCCTCTCCAGTCTCGAATAGCCCTAGCCAAAATAGAAGCACAGAACCAGGATCCGACTCATGGAACTTTCCTGTGAGGTCATTGTGAATCTTACTATAAATACAATTCCCTGTCTGTTACTGGTAATTTGGATACGATTCAAATTAACCATTTTGTTACTTGGTCAGAACTTTGGGATTGTTTAGCATTTCAAATTGTGACACTGACAGCTATCAGAACTCAACTGGGGTTTCCAGAGTTCTAGTATGACGTACTGTAAAGCTACCTATAACTCATTGATAAAAACTGAAACCTCGTTACTAGGATATTGGCGGTCGTGACATATGGAAGTTTCCAGGGGATTTTTACAGTATGGCAAGGGCCTTGGCGTTCGCTACGACTAGTACCTGGTGGTACCAAGGTAGTAACAACACGATCACGATCTTCATGCTGTAAATTGTTGCTATATTTTCGAATTTTCCTCACAAGGGCTTGGAATTGCTGGACTTTGTAGATTTAGACAGAATAGACGTTGTTGATCCTCGCCTCAAAGAATCGGGCCTTGAAAAATAGCTAAGGATTCTGCGGTTATGCTTTTACGTAGCGAGGTTTTGCGGCATAAGAATAATAGTATTTCTTCCAAACGGCAGAACCACGACCCGAAGTTCGAAGTAAACTGGTTTGTGAGCATGAACAGTTCTGCCGAAGCTGTTAACTTACTATGATCGTCTGTACCAAGTCGAGCGGAATTCTGCCTTAGTCACTGAGGGGTTAAATGTTACTCTAGGTGTAAATGCGATCGCAAGATATAGAGAGATGTGATAATCAGACTTCGCCATTAGGCACGGGGAGGGGGAACAATCGATTGTTGCATTGTTTTTGTTTACTAGACTAGATATTGCGTTAATGTAAATGAGAAAATAAGGGCGTGAAGCTAATATTTATGAAGCCCTTACCTACAGTGTGAAATAACACGCCCGCAAGTCACGTGTGATAGCTACAATCTTTTGATATAGATAGAGTAAGAAATAAATTATTTTCGTTGAAGGGATTTGGTAGAGCGGAGACAATTGCCTCTTCTGCCATTTAAATCTTGGGGACTCCTACTAGGCTCAAGATCCCTTTAACTTAATGAGGAAGTCTTTTTGAATGTATGGTAGGTTTCGAGCGAATCTTTCGTTTTCTTCTTTTCTCTTTTCCCCATAGAGGGGTACAAAAGATTGCCGAGGGTTGTCGAGGGAAGCAGCCGATCAATCGATGCAAATTGGGGGAAAAGGAATATGAATCCGCAAAAGTTGGGAGGGATAAAATCTTTGTGGCCGGGTATCTAAAAGCACTTAACTGAAGCGGATGTTGTACTCAAGTACGTTGAAGTACCAAAAGTTGGGGATTTCAAGTACAAATGACGAGTGTTGAAGCTGGTCACGCTGGTGCAAGCTTCACGATAAGGGGTGAGGGGAGGGGTTAACACCGATAGGGAATGACAGGGGTTGAGTGCCAGCAAAGAGTTACTTGCAGAGCACCACAAATACTACATGAAAAAGGAGAAGGCGTACCAATAGCATAGCATCTGCTGGAGATGGCTCCTATGATACCTATAGGCCAAGTTAAGGTGCTCCCTATGAAGGTGTATTTGTGACTAGAAGGCCACCAGAGGCCACCCACTAACATAAAACGATGGTTATTCACGCAGATATGAAACTGGGGTGGCCGTCGTTACCCACCACTGGCCACTGTCTCCCTCCAAAACCTTCACTTCTCCCAAGGTACAAATTAACTAACTAACCGTATCCTCAACACTTACACATCTAGCAGACCACAAGATAGCAGACCACAAGATGGCCGACTCTGGTGCTCCCAAGTCCTACTCGTCCGACCCCTCACTCTACCTCTACACCTCTTTGACCTCAGGATCCTCGCACATTGTCACGGCGACTTCACGGCTGGAGACCATCCTGAAAGCCAACCGCATTCCCTTCATCGCCCTCGATATCGCAACCGATGAGAAGGCACGCATGATATGGGGTCGGAGAGCAGGAAAGGATGAAACTGGGCGCGTTAGGAAGATACCTGGTCTTGTGCAGATGGGAGAAGTACTCGGAGTACGTCTCTTCTCCCCACCATGACTCCAGGCATAGCTAATAGTCCTAGGACCTCGTCGAAATCGAAGAATGGAACGAGTATGGCGAAATGAAACAACATGTCAAGATCGTCGGAACCTCCAACCTCGTTGCGCCAGCTAAATCAATGATGGCTAAGCCTAAGCCTTCAGCCTCCGCCTCGAAGCCCCCGCCTGCTCCAGAGCCAAAGAAGCCCCAGGCTACCCCTCCTTCTACAGCTGCCAAAGCCCCCGAACCCGCGAAAGCACCTGCTACAGAAGAGAAACCCTCGATAGTATCTGCAATACGACAAGCCGGGGCTGAGGCAGCACAAAAGGCTTTGGATGACAAGAAGAAAGTGGCCGCAACTGTGAGCGGAGTTGTGAAGGCAGAGCCCGCGAAGGAGGTAGAGAAGACAGAAAAGGCGCCAGAAAAAGCAGAAAAGTCACCCGAGAAGGCAACACAGAAACCCCTAATGCCACCACTTCTTTCTGTGACGGATCTGCCCTTAGAAAAGCTCTCACTAGAAGAAGTCACCACGATGCAAAGTCCCACCTCCACAGCTTGGCGAGAAGCCCAGGATTTATCCTTGAATAATTTGGATAATATAACAATGCCAGTCTCTTTGAATGCCAAATTGGAGTCTATGCAAAGTCCTAACAGTACGACGTGGAAACCTAAGGTTGTCAATCCCCCTGTTTTGGTGCATAGGGGCTCGTCGATTAGTACTGCGAGTGCTGAGGAGATTAAGAGCATCGAGGAGAAGACTGCTATTAAGGAGGAGGAGGAGGATGACGAGGATAACGATGAGGAAGAGAGCGAGGAAGATAGTGATGAAGAAGAAGACGACGACGATGATTATGATGACGAGAAAAAGGATAGTGCGAAAGATACCAAGAAGGCATGATTGCGAATTTATGTATGTACGCAGTTACCGGTGATTACTTGCCTGGGGCTTTCATGTTAAGATACCTCTCCTAGCTAATCTAAGTCTGGGTCACAAATATCCCCCTCAAGCTCTTGTTAGTTTCATTTGCAAATCCTCTTTACAGTGTTTGACACCCTGCCATCCTTTTCTACGCGCCTCAAGATTTGCCGCACACCCGAGAGCTTCACCAGAATCAAATGATTCTATTTGAGAATGAAAACTTATACAGATTATTTACCTTTGCCATCCTTTCAAGCATGGTCAAAAACTCATACCTCCGGCTCTTCGCTGGGAGTCATAATCGGCCGACAGGTACTCTGATGCCAACCGTGGTATAAACACACCCGTTACTGTGGGTACATGGGTAGACGAATATCATCTGGGCCTTGATGGTCTTGGAGCTAGATGGCACTTTTCAAAAAATGAAGCTTACGACGTCAAATCTGTAGATTGCGCTCGGGGCATCATTAAGAAGCTAGAGATCGACTGGCGATAGAACTATTCTCAGTTATAGCTCCTTAGTGACTTCATAGCAAGTCTACCTCTTAACTAATGGGCCAACACCGCGACCAACATGAACGTCAACTTTCCATCATTAATGATACCCATCTGCTCCAGACCCCCTGCATGTCCTTTTGCTGCATAGTGGCCCGATGTGCATGGGTCGCTGGGTCGCTGCCAAGTTAGTCTCTGTTCATATTGATTAGACGAAGTCGGATGAGATCAGATGAGAAAATACTTTGAGCTTACCCTCGAAGAGGTGAATAAAAAATGCCTCCGCTACTGCTTGCAACGCCAACACAGTATCTTCCGTGATACAGTAGCCCTTTATGTTGATTTTGGGATGTGCATCATATACAACTTCTCTGATGAATTGTTGAAATGAGAGCTTTGGGATAAGAAGTTCGTTCGTGTATTAAATTTTTTTTCGATCGATGAATACGAGTCTTTGCGATAGGTACCTGCCTAGCTGTTGAGACCCGACGAGCTGCCTTTGAGGCGAGATTCTTCTTCGGACTCTTGCCTCCAGTTGACCTACGGGCGGTTTGCTTTGTAAGGGCCATTGAGATGGAGATAATGCTGGATGGATGAACCTACACTTGTGGAAATGTGAGATCTGACTACTTGTAAGGGGTTGCGGTACAAGGGGGCTGGTTTGGATCCAGCTTTGGATTGAGAGTTTTCATAGAATGTAAAGGCTACAAGAACTTGCTTTTTTTTTGTTGGCAGTTAATACCTAAGTCCTTACACAGTTGCTTGTTTTTTTTTTACAGATTCCGACATACCGCTCAACTACTCAACAACAATCTGCCCTATTAGACAAGATGGTCGAACGAAAGCTTCCTCAGTAGTATTCATCCAATCCACACACCGTAAAAGCGAGAGCTAGACTAGATTTTGTCTGTTTCGACCCCCTCCGCAAACTTATTGTATGGTGAGCTCGAATTACCACTTTCTGCCACAGCCAAGATACCTAAGTACTATATTGTTAAGAGGTCTCAAGCCGTAAAAACACTTTCCTGTTCAAAGCTTCTGAATTTCTCATGTTGGTTTAGGTTTTATTGTCGGACAATTTACTGCTGTCGATTTGACTTGAAAGTTGCTCGGCAGGAGAGTGTGTATTTGGGCAGAAGATAGTACAGATAATCACAGCCACTCCTCTTCTGCGGCTTGGGCACATGGGGCTCGTTACTTTGCTTTAGTGAATTGCTAATGATTGATGGCCCTCGGTCGTCTCGCCAATTATTTGCACAATGGCGTTTATTAGGTTGTTTGTATGTATTATGTCGGGTCGTTTTGGCACGATTTCGCTTGCTGGATGAAGATAAGAGTAGTAATTATGCCTCACTCTTTATTATGATAGAGCCTCCATAAGCGAGAGATTGAACTCGCCGTTTGAAAATGTTGCAATACTCTTTTGAATCGTATGATATAATTATGACCCCCAAACTACGAGTACGTAGCAGCTTCTAATCTAAAAAGTTAGTAAGCCCCATCCCGCCTACGACGCGCGACCGTTTCTGTCCATTGTTCCAAATCCCAACTAAAACTCAACGTTCCCGCTGGTAGCGATTTCGGTGGCTTTCCGTCTTTGTTGGTCGAAAAGCTAATGACTAGCAAGTCGACTCTCGTGGATGCTTGACGATGAAACCATTTTCGATGGTGCTGTCCACGCCCTTGCAAAGAATTACGTGGTTGATTAACAACGGGACCATTGCAAATTCATCGACCCGAAAGAGTCATTGTCTCGATTGATGTGATAAATAGCACCACACGCCCGAACTGAAAGCACAATCACTTCTTCACGAATTTCACTCCAGGGGAGAGTTTTCTGAGACCATATAATCTCGCCACTTTGCTGGATTACTCGTTCCCGAAGAAGACTCACACTGAATCCACTTTTGTGTCAATCTAATCAAGTTCGCAGAAGTGCGTGTTGGATATTCCGGCAAATTCCCAACAAAAACTTGGAAACTACCAATTGAACGACGGCAAGCTAAGAACCCCAGAATCGATTCATCTTATGCTTGCGATGGGCCAAAATCCTGAAAATACTGAATTCTGGCTCAATAATAGACGGAGAAATTTTGATCGGACGAAGATTGCAAGCAACACCAACAGAATGATCAGAAATCCTTCCTCTGATCGAGTATCCAGAAAAAGGATGCGCACTACCCGGTCTTCCGCAGATGATCACGAAATAATCCGGCGAAGCCATAAAAGTCAAGGAATAACAGGCTTTGCAGATACCATTAAGAGAGCGATGGATCCCCGAGAACAGCCACAAGCCGGTAAGTTACCAATATCATCTTGCAAGATATATGATTGCAATCATTCTAAGCTTTTGGGCACATTGCTTAGACATAAAAGGAGAGGTATGCGGCGAAGCTTTTGGAACCCCTTCGACGAGACCAGAGCCCTTGGCGGAATACGTCAACGGATATCAATCAACATCCTCTTCATCGACACCCTCCGACTCGCAGCCCCAAACGTCAGACGACGAAATGACAACCCCCGCCTCACTAGAATTTAGAGCCCCCGGTGATATAGCTGAAGAACCCATTTCCAAAGACGCATTCTCGTGGTACGTTACAGATTTCAACAAGGACGACTGGGAGGACATCCCCAATGGCATGACCCTTGGAGGTCGCGCGAGCTGTTGTGGTATTCTAGCCTTGAGTCGTGCCTTCAAAGAACAATACCCCAACGAGCCATATGGATACCAAGATCCAGAGGAACTGTTGAATATTTATGACCAGGTCACTCCAAATTACCGGGAAAATGTAAATGCATCGGACCAAGAGATGCAGGCTTTAGTAGATAGTTTGACGGGAGGAAGTTTTGCATTGGTGGTTGCCCAGTTTCAGAGCAGTGATTTTACAGAGAGGGCGAGGAGGATTGGTAGTGACGAGGAGCAGGAGAAGTGTAGGAAAAATCTGTATTTGAGACATATACCTGGCCATTGGGAGCCGATGAGGAGGATTCGATAGTATCTTGTTGTCCTTGGAATGCTGATTTGGGTTGTTGTGGGCAAGATACAAGGCGAAATTCACTGTTTGCTTGCGCTAAGTTTTGATACCCTTGAATACCAGCGCTAAGCGAGCATCCTTGGAATAAAAGCATTTTTCCTCCTTTACAATACTAGTATTGTCACTAAGAATTATTATAGAATACTATAGCAGCCTTCGTATTATCTGACAATGATCTGTAATCTTTCTATACTAATAGCAGGCAATGTGTTTGTGGCTGGAATAAGGTCAGCACAGAAAATCTACCCCCCTTAAAAAGCTACCACAAACCTTTTTACCCCGAAATAACGAAATTGGACCCCGCCAATCAAGGCACACAACAAACCAACCATCCAGGTAACCTAATCGTCAACGCGCACACTCGCATCGCTTGCACATATGCTTGCCACAAAAAAAAAAGAAAGTCCTAAATGGTCCGCCAGAGGGTCCAAAGCACTTGGTAAGTTCACTCGCTTCCTTTGATTCACTAGCTAACACTTCCAGCTCCACATACCTAAAAATGAAGCCCTCTATCAAAAAAAGCGTACCTACCTACTAAAAGATAGTCCTATCCTTCAAAGGGTTAGGAGTCATTCTCTCTGAGATGTGCGATCATATGGCAGTCCTCCGTTCTGAAAAAACCCCGATAAACTTCCGTTATGAAGTGAGGGAGTTTCTTAAGCTAGTTGCAGGTCTACACCACAGAGTGGGTAGGCTGGCTTAAGTTTTGCCGTTTTGCTGCCTGGTTCTTGACATATTATGCTGATTCCAGATTAATTCTGTTGGTCTTCTAGTTGGGGAGCTCTCAAATAGTATACCATTTAGTTCTACTAATATTCAAGGTTAGGCACATCGTAATCATCAAGTATGATAAGTAGTAACTCTGATCACATTCACGGTGGCTATATATTCCTGCTCTTCATTAGTAGACCTGTTTTCAAAAGTGGGTGTATAAAAATATGAAAACTTCATCTTGATTTCCAATGTTGCTAGGGTGGGAGGTTTGGTATCTGGGAGTGTTCTGCTGTCGCGCGATGTTCTTAGTTCGGGTATGGATAAAGGCGATGGGATCTCGAAGCTACTCGTCTGATAATTTAAATGAAAGTTACCCTCTTCTCCTATTTTGCAGAGTCGTTTTTCATAAGCCAGCGCAGCGAGTCACGCCACTAAGGAGAGAAGTGCAAATCTCTTGCTTTTAGAGATATGGTTATAGCATGTTATCAATGACGTCTTATCAAAATTTTACGTCAAAATCTGTTAATGGCATATTTGGGAACGACTAGAATAGAATAAGGACGTGTTCTCAGCAATGTTTAGTAGCTCTAAGGAGTATATCTGATTTATTCTCACAAAATGGTAGCTTGCGTTGGGATAGTTTCTTTTCGGCGTCATAATTTACGATGAATTTTCAGAATACGAGGTGATCTTCAATGGATTATGTGCATGGTGTAGTATGCGATACATATCTATTTCACAATAAGATCCCAACATACTAAATAGCCTGTTTTAACAAAAGTTTAACTTTGATTATTGAAGTATAACTGAAGTGTTGCACTGTTGACATAGAATGGGTACCAAACACACATATCCCTGCAAATAGCCTAGTCAGAACTTCAAAGATATTCTGGTGGTTTAATTACAACTACCTAGTCGCCCAACCACAGCTAGCTTGAAGTAGTAGTATGCTACTAAATGCAAACGGCCCCAAATCTCTCGTAATATCTAAAAGATATGTTGTTCTCTCTTCCACTTCCCTTCACTTTCATTCTTCAATTCATCGCAATTATTTTACCCCCATTTCACCAGCTCACTCATTTTTTTGCACATTATTTTCTATCAAAGCCCACTAAGCAAACTTGAGTTTTACCAACTGTTCCAAACTAAAAGTCGACAATATGAGCCCTCCAGGTACCCCTTCAGCCCTTCGATCGACCAGCGTTGCTTCGGGGATCACAGAAAACCGAGACCCAAGATCACACTTCTATATCAAAAATCAAAAACACCAACTTCAGGACCGTATGGAGACCCTACAGTCGGTTGCGAATTAAGCTTAAATTTCGGGTGTTTTTTTATAATCCGTGCTTTTTTTTTCCTACTAATTTTACCCTCTCTCTCTAGAGGGCAGATTTCAAACGTGGTCTAAAAGAGACGTAAACTAGCTAGAAAGAAGCGCTATATCAACTTATCTACTCTACCTACTTTTTAGACCTAGCCCTATTATATAACAATAGTAATCTAGGAAATTAAGATTTTCTCCTTTTTAGCCTTAGTATTCCTAGCAGTATGCCAAGACCCTAGAAAAGATAGACAGAAATAAAAACGTCTGTTTTAGTTCTAAAAAGTTTATAGAGCGGAAGAGGGGGTAAAGGGCTTCTGTTTACTACTATATAGGATATAAGGGCATGTGTTGTTGTCTAGTAAAGTACAAATAACCATAGAATAAGGGGGAAAAATGTGTTCTTTTTCGTAAAAAAGCACGGTTTATAAAAAACCCTGAAATTCAAGCTCAATTCGCAACTGACTGTAAGAGGCGAAGCGTCATATCGACAAGCCAGCCATGATACCCAATACTTGTGTCCCGCCAACAACGGGTCATTGGCATACGGCACCCATCTCGAGGGACAGTATCTCTCACTCAGACGAAAGTTGATGAATGAGATAATTACTCCGAGTGAGGCGGATTGGCTTCAACATCTAGAAAAGAAGTCTCCTGGGATTTCTTTGCATAAGGCTCATGAGGTAGCAATGAAGCAAGATGCAAAAATGCTTGCAGAATTCGAGAAGCTTTTCGATGCCAAGTTTGAGAATTTGATGAGGCGGGAACGACTCCCTGAAATAAAGAGGCTAGACCTGGCTGCCCTGGAGATAAAAATGGCAGCGATTGAAAAGAAGAGAAAGGAGGAGTCCGAGCGCGAGGACTCATCAACGAATGAAGGAAAGTGCGTCGCCTCGTCAAGTAAGGAAGGAACGGAATCATGCTTTGTCGACACAGAATCCCAATCCTCGAGCCAAGACGAAGCACCAGGAACAGACGCTCAGCCATCACTAGAAGAGCTCCAAAGGAACTTCGACCTCGCCAAAAGCAACTGGAATAATGTAAGAAAGGTGTTCATTAAAAACAGGAAAAATCTCGTGAGAGAATACCAGCAAAAAATATGAAAGGATCCCTGGAGGTTACCCAAAACAGGAACCCCACCAAGGACATCTCGTGTTGCCATTTGTGAAGAGTACTCTCGTCATCATGTGTCTTACCCACGGCCTTACTCAGGATCTAGAGAATCGTTCTCTCTTCATCGGACCGCGGAAAGATACACCAGGAAGGCACAGTGTCGAGTTTCTAGGGATGTTCAAACTGGATCCCGTGATTTACGAATATGTCTCCCAAATATTCTCCAGCATCAAAATTGCTATAGGTCGAGGAACACTTTCCGCAAGAATGCTCAAATTTCATGAAGATCACTTTGACTACAGTAAAGACTGGCCAGCTTTTGTCAGAGGGACCCGTAATGGATCGAGAGCCTTGCTCAGGAGCGGAAGCTTTGAGAAATTTAAGGGCAAGCTTCTGGCACAGGAAGCTCATATAAAAAAGCGCAAAGATGAATGTGCTATGCTCATCCACATTGTAGCTGCTTTAAATCCTAGATTAGCTTTGTTCAAAGAGTCCCTCAGTATAGCCATGGATAATGGAACGATCAAAAAGGACGTTATGGGCAGGACTTTGGAGGGACAGTCGTTGAAGTGGAAGGGCTTTTTGAGGGGCATTTTGTAAGCTTGAAGTTCTACACTTTCTCTCTTCCTTTCTGTGAGGGTATTAAAACAATTAATAACTGGAGCAGGGCTAGACAATGCATCGGTCACTTGGCCGGGAAAGAAAAAGGCCATTTGGAGATGGAGAAGAAACGGAAGATCGACGAGGAGGAAAAAACGGACGGCATTTGGGTCAATGAACGGAAAGCAAGGCTCATGCCAACATCTGACAGACTCAACAAGAAGGTGAAGGTCAAGATCAAGCAGTAGACAGGTAGACAATGACTAAGACCATTATTCTATACTTCAAGATCAACCCATCATTGTGCTTTACATATCACTGTACCGAATTAGCATACTATGTGCCAAAGTTGCAAACCCTCTCAAAGCAGGTCTTCGCTGATCACGGCTTTCAAAAAGTAAAGTGAAACCAAGCGGACTCTCACCTGTCCTTCTTTCGTCGTTTGTGTAGAGAGTGACATTCAAAGAGGTGCAAGTTCTGTTTTTTTTTTCTGACGACTCGATCTTCGGTCTATGTAAATCTCTTGTATCAACTCAAACTCCTTCTTTCTGGTACTATTTTTCTGTATCAAAATGCCACAAAAGATGCTTCGGGCGTTGAGAATCACCTCGTTCCTTCAGGGTGCACAGAAGCTTCTCCAAAAAATATGCCGCAAGTGTTGAACTGCTAGACGTGAAAGAAAGATGCCAGTGATGTAACTTACTCTGCGAGCTCGCGGAAAGGACCTATTTGTCGATATCAGATTCGCACCCGCCCCCAATCTATAGATCTGACAAGCGGGGTGAGCGAGCGTGCCAAAAAGTGGATCTTTCTCTAGTTTAGCGAATGATCTCCTCCTCGATCACCCCTGAATATGCAGGGGTTCACCGAGACAGCGGAGTGAGCAGCGCCTCAACAACACCACTGCTCAGCTCTTACCTCTGGTGCCTGGAGCGTAGGATGCGGTTTTGGACTCTACATATCCAACGCATCCCCCTGGTTTTGGCAAGTGTCAACATCAGCGTTTCGTGATTTTTGTTTTTCTGTTTTTCTGTTTCCCTATATCTTCTTTTTGAGACTTCCGGTCATCTATCTTCTTCCTCAATTGAACTTGTATTTTTGTTTGCAACTACTCGTGAAACATCACAGGCAGGACGATGATACGGGGGGTCCGATCTCCTTTCACCAAGCTCCGAATTACCATCATAGGAACACTTCTTGTTTCTGCTTATTATCTGCTGCTGTATTCAGCCGAGACGAGGTTACCAGGGAAAGAGCTGCCTACGTATTCTTTACGATACCCCACGAACTCGGAATCATGTATCGACACCCCAGCATCAAAAAAGATCGTGGTATCGATCAAGACAGGCGCTTCGGAGGCCGTTGAAAAAATACCAGCACAGATGCAAACAGCACTTCGATGTGCGAAAAACGTCTTCTTTTTCTCGGACCTCGAGCAGGATCTGAGACAGTTTCATGTCCACGATGCTTTAGATACCATTCCGGTCTCAGTGGCAGGAGCGAACCCAGACTTTGATTTCTACAACAAGCAGTATCAACGCTGGCGAAATGGCGAGGATGTCAGTTCCAGGGAAGGTGCCAAGAACCCGGAGGCCTGGACGTTGGACAAATACAAGTTCATACACAGCCTGGAAAAAACATGGGCACTGAAGCCGGATATGGACTGGTATGTCCTTATCGACGCCGACACGTATGTGTTCTGGTCAAATTTGCTTCAGTGGTTAGAAACGATGGATCCCATGAAGAAGTCGTACTTTGGTTCCGAGGTTGTGATCTCAGGCCAACGATTTGCTCATGGTGGATCTGGGATTGTTCTATCGAAGGCTGCCATGTATGATATTGTAGTTAAGGTACGCAACTATTCCTCGGGTTTTTTCCCCTCTATCTTTGCTCCTGTGTGGAAGATAAAGGGACACCCCCTCGCTCTGGGCGGCATAAAAAGTAGCCAAAAACGTTCTTGTCCTACCTTACAGTTAGCACTGAAGTTATTGTCCTCAACGTGAGAAACACTCTACATCTAGCTTCTTTGGGACTTTGGCTGTCTCTAACTCAAAATCGTTGGAACAACGCAAGCATTCAAACTCCTCTTTTACTCTTTTCTCTGTTGCCAACTGGAAAGGATTTCGCTAACATGACTCCAGAACAATGGCACAGCTGCTCAATGGGACACAAAAACACACGATCGCTGCTGTGGCGATCTTGTACTTGGCCTTGCTTTGAAAGAACACGGAATCGAATTACAAGATGTGTGGCCTTCGTTCAGTGGCGAGACACCTAAGACGATGCCTTTTGGCCCCGGAACCCCTGAATATTTGTGTCGACCAGCATTAACGATGCATCATGTTAGTCCAGCCGATATGACTGACCTTTCAGAATATGAGCAGCAAAGAGGCAATAGATCGGCATGTCTCCTATTACTTGTTGAAATGTCAATAAGCTAACTATGTTTAGGAACCGCTTACACATATTGAGTTATTCAAAAGCCTAACACTCGACTCGGTGCGGGCACAAGCACAACGAGAAAACTGGGACAATTTAGCATCTGATCCTGGAGAATATGGAAAGACAGGTGGTGTACTGTCCAAGGCCAAATCATTAGAAGAATGCGCAAAAGCCTGTGAAGCTGACAAAGAATGTTTTCAATACGGATTTCATGGTAAATGTCATATTGGAAGAAGCATCCGATTAGGACAGATGAGAGATCCGGATGAAGATGGAACCTGGCAGAGTGGCTGGAATCATGCTAGGCTTAATGAGTGGGTGTTGAGCCAACCTGTCTGCGAACAGGTCAATTTTCCAAGACAGGGGTCCGAATGTCCATGGTATAAAGAACCAGCTCTGGGAGATCGTCCGAATACCACAAAAGATTAGATATACTAGAATTTGTCCAAAGTCAGCTATTCGGTCTTAAGATGCTGTCTGCTCTCGTCTCCAGGTCTGTGTCGGTGTTTTGAATTTCATGAGCAAGGAAGTAGCTACAAAGCACAGAATGTGGGTTCACTTGCATTACTGGCTTGACGAAACCTGAAGCTAATTAATGGTAATACAGTTGACCATCACGCTCATTGACGTTTTCTTTTTGAGAGAAGCTTATAGTTCACAGTGTTGCAAGATGCGGAAGGAAAGAACACGAGTTCAACCCATTCAAGGATTAAGGCCTCAAATTTTCGACCCCTCTATCTCCTTGCCCAGATTTCCCATTTCGAGATTGAATATCCTTTCTAAGTACTTGCAACATTCAAGCTGTTTAGAGCTCTTATAGCTTTACATGAGCGGGCTACGTAGTATTGTTGGGACATAGGACTTGTTAACGTGTTAGCCTGAATGTCCTCAATCCATTCTCAAACGGTCGTTCAAATTGAGCTACAGATTTTGCCACCCATGTACTGTACAATGAGCGAACTTTAGGTGAGTACACAACCCCTTTCGAAGTTTCCAAGTTACATTTCCCGGGTGTCAAAAGTTACCAGACCGAACAATCCTTGTCTTCGCACACTCGGTCAGCCGCCGGTGTGAAGTATGATCACCAACGTGCGTGCATACCCCACGAGACAAAGTAACGATTGATCTCAAGATCTTGTTCTCAATTCGGTAGGTCCCTTTGCATCTCCAATGGCTATCAATAATCACCCAATACCCCACCATATACAATCCGGGCGCTACAAGTTGCTCGCCACCTAAGACAGTTAATTAACCATATGACGCCCCTCTAAAAACAGTGACCTCCGCACCCATTTTTTCCACGTAAAACGCACGCCTCTTACACGCATTGTGGCTGTTGAAAACATTACCCGTAGATTTCTACACACCCTCTTTTCGGGTCTCTGTCTTCAGCACTCTTTCATCTCCACGAACCACAGCGTTGCACGGCCACATACCAGTTCCCAGCCTTCTCATCCATGCTATCCACATCTACAAATCAAAAGAAGACAAAGCTCCGATGCGCGGTGGGCTGACATGCATCATGTACCTCGGAAGGATGGGAGCCCCAACTGGGCCACATGCGTACAGAGGTGCGAAGCGAGGGGGGTACGTGCCGGAGGAATACATATTTGTACTGGATTCCACCACTTTTTTGAGCAGCGAGATTGAATTGAGTTGGAACCAACTTGTGCCTGTGTTGGTATGTGCCGCTCTCTAGCAGCTTCGGCGACGGCGTTGGCGAGTAAGAGTTGAATCCTATCTCTGTAGCGGCGACAATTACCTTGCAAACCCTTGTGCTGGGTCGGCTTCTCGTTGTGAAGTGTGATTCGCCGATTGAACAATTGGCGCTACTAAGGATTTGCCAACATCACTCGGTGTTGGCAGTCCGAAGGCAAGGTAAAAGTTGGAGACTACGTCAAGTACTATCTTCAGCTCTACCATGACTACGTTGCCTCAATATTAGTGGGCTTATCTGATCTTCCAGATTGACTCGGACTTCCGTAGGTTTTATAGACTATTACGCGGCATATTCAAAGTGTAGTACAAACCATCACTGGCCAAAAGTGCAACCTATTAGATGTGAGATCGGACTCCGTAGTTGCCGGATTGTGGCAAAGTGCTTCTGGGGTGTTTAAGAAAATTTGAAGCATGTTCAAGTACAGTACTTGAACCCCAACGCGCAACAAAAGTCCATGGCCTGATTCTTTTCCAGAAAGGTTATGAGGGGTTCTAGTAACTTTGCAATTTTAAGACTACAACTCGTTCTTAAGTCAAACAAAAGCGATTGATTCAAGTACGGAAATAAGTTATGTCCCAATGTGGTTGTCTCAAAAAAGGTTCCAACTCACTCATTCACCAAGACCCTTTAGCGAAGCGAGGTCGCAAAAGGGGACTAAGGGGGATATCAGGCAAGCGAGAAATAGAGTTCAAAAACACGATGATAACATGATTCCAACAATCACAATTATACTCCTCTTCTTGTAGAGGAGTCATTCCTCCAATTTTTGGCAGCCACATAGCAAAGGAACAGACGCGCAATACTTCACTTCCCCACTACTTCGCCCCTCGTCCTACAGAACACTTCTTTCCTTCTACAATGCGCGTACGTAAACAAGCACACGCACGCATAAATTCATAAATTCATAAATTCAAGGAACTCTTTCCATTTCATTGTGCGATGTTTCACGGCATGGATAGACGCAGGATCTCAGTGTCACCATATTCTCCCAGCAGTGCGACGAAGATGGAGATCGGTATGGTGATTGAAGACCTTGATGGGTTGGTAATTGAACTGTATGCCAAGACCGGATTAGGAGTGCTAATCTGGAGAGCAACTACTGAGAGCGGAGCAGATAAGAAGCATGGAGACAATAAGTAAGTTAGCATATGTTTAGTTCTTAGTTTCGGAGTGAAGAAAGTCCAACTACAATCTTGCACATCCAACCCTCGTATCACATACTGTACCCCCGGAAGAATGAACACATGGAGTCCTCGTAACAACATCACATATGCCGTACCCTTTCGCTCAGAAATCCCACGTCATCTCCTCCGATACATTTGGCATAGACTCGACATTCTGTACAACCTACAGCCGGACAGAACGGGTCTGTATACACAAGGTGATATGCATCCGCGCTCGAGACGACACCGGACGGATACCTGCACCATTTCATTGCTTCTAGAAGGGGAAAAGAATGCAGCGAGAATAAGTGTGTCGTGCACCCACATACTCGTACAGTACATCCATAGACTCGTTCATCGAGGACCGTGAAGAAACCGGACTGCACACCCTTCTCGGCACAGCGAGGGGACGCGACAACGCCTCGTTAATGTGTCATCAGTGTCAGCAGTATCAAAGAGCGTGTGCGCCAATCAAAAAGAGGGTTTTCATTATTGACTGCCGATAACTCGCAGCACACCCAAAATCCTCACCTCAGCCCAAGGGCAGCGTAAGTTTGTCATTCGCTGCTCCACTCCAGTGCAGTACATACACCCGGGACCATCAATCCGTCTGAGGTTGGAACCCTAATATGGCCATGCACGTAACAGCCGTCGGTATACGCACAGGAACGAGGACGAACATCATTGTGGAGGTGGCAAGAATGCGTAAAACTATCTGTCAATGTTGGATGGCTAAAGCATGGTTGCTGGTGCCTGCAGTCAGGCAACATGCTGTGTTCCATTTCTGACTGTGGCACTACTGTTACCTATTCATACGACCAGTGAAATTACCCTGATGGAAGTCTATGCTAGCCCCTGATTGTAAGATGGATGAGTGGATATATCCCCGAGACATCCTAACACGCTTTTGTGGGAGTACAGAAAGGCTTGGTTTGAAGTCAACGATTCTGTTCTCTTGTATTCAGGAAAGGGCCTGTGAAGCACAGAATAAGCGAAATGGGTACTCCCATAGAGAAAGTTGAATATTGCGGGGCAGAAGGTGGAGGTGGTGTGGGCAGGTACATATGTTGGTAGGACAAAATACGGCGCAGTGGACTGAGGAGGGCATAGGTAAAAAAGCTTTCGTGGTTCTTTCCTTTTTAGGATAATTCACGATGTTTCTGACTGTAAACCCATTCAACAAGATTCATTAGCGGGTCGTCTTAGCTGTCTAGCATAAAAGTTTACACCCGAACCCGAAAGATTAGACCGATAGGATTTACTGAAAGCCGAGATATATACCACCACTTTCTGGTCCTTCGTCCGGAGGTCGTTTGGTTAACGATAGGGTGTACCCGTTTTTTGGAACCAACACAGACCATGGATCGGTTGGAATCTCACGTTGTGTGATAGAAGTGTGCCTGTACGAATTGAGAAGTAGCCCCGGTACCTTTTCCCCCCTCCTTGTGGCAGAAACTGCCACTTGACATTTTTCTGTACTACTAGAGGCTGCCCAGGGAGGCGATTGATTAGAAACCAAAGCGTGATTTTCAAGAAAAGGGGGAGCTCTGTGGCTGAACTCAGTATCAAGCCAATATTGACGTCGTAAAAAGGTTTCTTTTGTGGTTTTGAAAAGCAAGATGAGCGGCAGCGCAAAAGAATATTGCGGGCTTACGCCATGGAAGCATTAAATCACATTAACTACGAAAGTCAATAATGTGAGGCTTCTGTATGCTGAACAGTAGATGGAAGAGTAGTAATTTACTGTAATATGCCTAAGTTTCAACGAGTAATGTCTTGCATGCGGTTGTGCCTCAATTATACGAGTACAACAGCGATACTCGTATCACAAACTTCGATAGTTTATCCACCAGGCTGAGGAGACAAACAGGATCGCTTATGCCCATCGAATGTTATAGGGTTCCTTCCAGCGCGCACTTTAGCCAAGGCACCTGGCTGTAAACTTACAGCTATGTTTATGGCCGAGATTTTATGTGGTAAGATGGAAGTGTTGCGCGACTTGAATATCCATGAAGGCGCAGAAGCTTTTGCCTATCGAAAGACAGTAGTTTCTCTTGGTAAATACTCTAATTAATTAGAGCGGAATTATTCAAGAGCATACATGGAGAAAAGTTGGACCAGCGACAGCACTAAGCTTATCCTCGAAAAGACTTCTACTGTATTTACCAGATCAACTACAGTTACAGTTTCCAAATGGACGAGGATCAGGGCAAACCTTGTCGGAATGTTCAGGAAGAAAGGCTGTGCGTGTGCGAGAGCTGTCCACGAGTGAAGACGAGTTCAAACTTCAAGGCGACTTTTGTATTCCGGCAACATGGCAGAAAAGGCAATTTCTCCGGATGATGGCTCACAACATGTCAAGAAAGTTACGGGACAATCAATGCCTTGATCCCCCTCTTCGTCCACCACACAACAGCCGCGTCGATCCGTACCAGAAAAATGCCATCACACGTTTTCTCATGGACGGCGGATCTGATCAACCACGGATCGACTTTGATCATCCAAATAGCCACGTTCATGACCGGTGAGGGCATCGCGTGAAGAGGGGTATGCGAAGACGGTTAAGGCTGTAGCGATGCGATCTCCATCGTTCCCACTGCGGTGGCTGGATGTGAATGTGTAACTTGGGGTCGTCCTTTTGCAGCGTGCTTAGAATTTTCTGGTCTACCATGCAGACTTCATCGAGGCATCGCATTCCGGAGCCGATACCAAAGCAAAGAATCATACTCATAGTATCGAAGCGAAGGATTTCGTCTAAGCGCAAACTCGGGTCTTTGACAAGGCGAAACCCAAAGACATTAATAATGATTAATCATTCCTGGAGCAAAGGATCATGGAGAAGAGCCGTGACCACTCAGCGCACTGGACTCAGCATGCTGCCGCATGCCCCAGCCGAGGACGACATCTCGGTGATTTGCACTCTGAAAGCCCCCGATAGGCTATAGCCTGAATAATGGGGGGAATAATGGGGGAATAATAGCCCTGGGGGCTTTCCCTCACCTGCCAGTTTTAGACAACGGCTGGGACAAGTCTCGGGGGGATTTTGCATGGTACCGGTTACTTAAAAGTACTTCGAAGTAGCACAAAAGAATCAAGATCCTCGATCGGGTCCTCGGCAGCTGGAAGCCGAATTTTGGTCGGTGCAGAGAAAGTCTAAAACAACCCCCGAGATTCCAACGGAGGGACTTGGGACTTGGAATCTCATGAGCTGTGAGCACCATGTCGTCCTACCTTCGTACTTCGTAAAGGAGCTTGCAGTATGGAGGAGAGGGGAAGGCGCTTGTGTATCGACACCGGGTAACACACCACAGGCATGCAAAGCTTAACTAACCACCAACCAGGACTTTTCTCCGGATCCAGTACCTGAGTACAGATTCTGAAACAACTCAAGTCAGGAACCGTGTAATTTACTTCCCAGGTAGTCGCGCTAGATGGATCTGAATGTTTCTAAAGAGTTGCACTAAATATTCACTTTTGAGAGATACAAGCAGGTGGATATCCATATCCACATCCACAAACCAGCCCTTTCCCCGAATACAGTACTGTACACACTTGCCGGTATATATTATATACCGAGTATGGGAGCAGCCTCAGAGAGTACAATAAACATAAAAATTGAACCAAAGCAACGAATTGGCCAAGGGGCTTAATGTACTCGGTTTCAAGCATTCAAACGCCTCTCAATCTCTAATTGACTGCCATGAAATGGTCTTGACATGACAGAACGAGGCTTCGTAGATTACTCGAACTTCAAGTAACACCAACAACAATCCAAGATGTCTTACCACCCACGAAATGCCACTCTGGTACTCCCTAAGAGTCCAGACTGTCGATCTTTTCCATCTTTGAAAGGAGCCGTTGAAAGAAACACATCCCGTACACAATGGGTGCCACAAATCGAGAGCAAAGTTCAATACTTTCCGTAGCTGCGGCTTCAGCTGTCAAAAGCAAAATATACGCGCGGAAGCTTTATTGATAGATCAAGAACGGCCTAGAGGAATAATGAAAACAATGGATCAGAGAAGGATGGTCTCATATTACGTTCGTACCGTCAACGGCGTGTGTCAGTGCCACGAGTACGGAGTAGTTGGTGATACTTTATTTCTTCCCAAGTTGTGGAGACCGTAGACATTATTTACTTCGTACGAAGTACTTGCACCACAACCCGATACTGCACGTCGATGCAGTTGCCCGTGAGGGGGTACCCATGGGAGACATCTCTAGTTGTTTATTGCGTTTCTCCGGGGATTGATTCCTTCGGCCGATGTCATTATTACGCGGTACGGAGTATTGTGATAGGATCTGGATCACCTCAGCTGGTTGGTTGTGATGAGAAGATCGATGACTTGCCTGCAGGCGAGATGCAGCAAGTCCCTGAAATGTGCTTGGTCCCTTTTTCGTTCCTTTTACTGCCTTGCCATTCTTTTACTTCGTACAAGGGGGAGACAGGATCTTACTTTGTAAGGTGACGTTGGACCAATTCGCGGGGCCGTCGTGAGAAAGGAACCTTTTCAGGGGCCATCGCGGCTGCTTAAGCGAACACCTCGGGGGCTGTCAGACTTTCCTTTCCTCGGTCTTCAGCGCTCGAAGGGCGACGGAGGCTCCGTGGGAGGTCGGAGGGGGAGAGAGCGAGCCAGCCAGTTTGACGACTGGATGAGAGATCTGATCTGATCCTCTCTATATCGAGATCAGTACGGGATCGCACTCGAGTATGCCTCTGACATACTCGAGTACTCCGTACAGAGGAGCGAGTAGTCGCTCATGGCCGAGGACTCCGTACTGGTACTCGTTTCCTACGAGTACTTTTACCACTTTGAGATCCTGAATCGACGCAACCGAGGATTACGAGTACGTTATCGCCGGAGCGTACGAGTACTCAAGTAAAGTGACTACCTAGGTAAACTTTAGCCACTAAAGTCGACCGTATTGAGTTATGACCTAGTACCTAGGCTAGTACTGTACTCGAGTACTGGTACGGTGCCTACTAAGTATCCACTGTACTGGATGTGGGTTAGTGTTGGATCCAACCCCCAACCCTCGCAACTCGTGTGTCCCCGCAACCGCAACCGCAACCACCTCATGGCAGTGAACCAAAGCAACCCTGCCTCCTGTGCTCAGCGCCAGGGTTCCCTTGGACTCTGAATCACTTCAGCATGCACGCTCTTGCACCTCCTTCTTTTCCACGCCTTCCATGGCTTGGTCTTGTGTGACGAACGTAGGCCGTGCAAATCGCCGCTCATCTACGAGGACAAGGCTCTTGTGGCCACATTGAAGCCTCTCCCTGACTTTGAAGCCTCTCCCTAACTTCAGGTGTCTCTTTTGGGCCGAGCAGCCTCAGCCAACCCTCACCACCCAACATCCTATGAAGTGGTGAGAGTGTGCTGCGTGCTGCATGGTATCCGCTATGTGCAGGTGTTGGGCTACTGGTGTTGGTGTTGGTGTTGGTGTTGGTGTTGGGTCAGACTTTGAAGGCTTTGGGGACAATATCGCGTAGATCCTCGCTAGCGACTTCTTGATAACAATGAAGAAAGTTCGTCCTTCCCCTCTTGTTCCCTCCGCACAACAACGTGCTCAGTGCCCAGCAGTGCCAGTGCCAATGCCAGTGCCTGGCCACGAGCTTCGTCCACCCTGAGCTGCGAATCATCTGCGCCTGCGTGGATTTGGACCACAGAGCGTGCCATTGGCTGGGTGCCGATGGATGGCATCTTCAGGGTTGTTTGTCGGTTGATGAACCTGGCATCCCCCTTGCACATCTGTGGCTCACTGGTGGCTCCCACTAACCATTTTAATACTTAGCACACACCTGCACCTGCACCCTCTCTCCCTCTGTCTCTCCCGCTGTCCTCACCTGTTCTGCCCTCCCCTCCCTTCTGCTCCCCGTACTTAGCTTAGCACTGTACTGTACAGGAGATGCTTTACAGGCTGTCTCCCCCAACCTACTCGTAATCCAGGCCTACCCATCCTATCTCATCCACGATCCTCATCTCACTCTCACTCTCACTCTCGCCCCTATCTATTCACTCACAGTGTATCTCGAGTACTCGTACTGCAAGTTCATTCTATGTCCACTATTTTCCTGAGACACCCTCCAGCGTCGCCAACCACGATCGTCAGAACAGAAGGCAGAAACAACAAGTTGCGGTTCCAGTTCCAGCGCCCAACCCGCGTGGAAGTCCCCGCCTAACAGGCCAATCAGCTCCACTAGGAAGACCCCACATCCCTCTAGCTGCCACTGCCACGGCCACGGCCACTGCCACTCGCTGCCACGGCCATCGGCCACGAATATAGCACAGGTTGTTCCTCCCCTCCAACATCCACCATCCGACCCTAAACTCTCAACACCAACCTTGGTGCGTTGACGACACTCTCGCTTTGAACACACCCGCAAGCCTATTCCTATTGAGCAGCACCCCATTGCCAGTGCTGCCCGCAACCCGACCCAGCAGTTGTATCTCGCGGTCACAACGACTACATCCTACATTTCTTTATTCGCAACGCCTGCGCCGACACATCTTTTTGAGTCGCGATGGCTCACCACCAATCGAGCCACCAGGTTGTGAAACCACCGACGACCATCTCAAGCATGCTGAATGAGCCCACGGTTCTCAAAGAACCCAAGAACAACAGAGATAGCGCGTATGCCTCACAAAACAATTCAAAGCGTAAGCATCCCTCCTAATTTTTGCCGCTTGTCATTCTGGTGATGGGCTGTCAGGAGGAAGACTAATTCATGAATGAGCGCTTGCAGACTCCAGCCTCTCACACACCCACAATGGAATCGGTGGACAGCACCTGGGCTCAGCAGATTCTTGTGGAGTGGAAAAGACACCGTCCCCAGTTACGCATGGCCTGCACCAGCATCAATTGAGTTCTCCCTCGGGGGCGATGAGTGTGGCATCAATTGTATCGCCTACGATTCCAGAGCATCATGAAGCTATGGCAGGTGGAAATCGGTTGAGCGTTCAGACCATTGACTCTGCGCTTCACAGTGGCTCTTTCAATGGAGATTCTCGCCGCGAGTCGGTCGATAGTCGCCTGGGCGCCAACTTTGGAGACATGCGCCTGTCTGGACAATCTGGTGCTTCTCCCTACACCTCAAATAATATATCCACAACATCCCTTCAATCCTCGCTTGCGCAACAGAGAAATCCTGGCGCAACAGAACGCCCTGCGCTTGGCTTTAGATATTCCGACCAATTCTCCCCAAGATCCTCTCGATTTTCTGCAAGTAGCGACCCAATTTCGCCAACAAGAGGCATTCTACAAAAAACCGCACCGCCAATTCATGGCCCACCATCCAGAGATATCGCAGAGGCCCCTCATGCTATTCCTGGTCAGGCCTGGGCGTTGGATTTCTCCGCCGATCCGTCTGATGATAATGTTAATAGGAACGGGACATCATTTTTCAATGATGACTCGCGCCGAAATTCCTTCACAGAGTCAATCGCCAGTAGCCAGTATACTACGGAATCACGGATGCCACAGGGCCAGCGACGACTGGATGATCCTTCAGACCCCAACAATCGCCTGTCAAGAGCCTCCTCTGAACTTCAAGTATCGACACACCATCACTCCCTTCAACATCGACAAGTCGCTGATCTGCAGTCGGAAAATGGAACTTCGCCTGGTGGTAGCCAGCCCTACTCTCGAACCCCCGAGTTGAGAGTTTCCCACAAACTTGCTGAACGTAAGCGACGAACAGAGATGAAGGACCTGTTTGACCAATTGCGCGACCTTATGCCTCAGGAACGTGGCTCAAAAGCATCTAAATGGGAAATCCTAACTAAAGGTAAGTCGATCCCATAGTCCTATCTTTCAAAAAGGAAAAAAAAGGAGCGTCATTCTAATCAGGCGTTAGCAATTGCGGAATATGGCAGAGCGATGACCGATATAACTCGATTGTCTAGCAAGATCCGCGGCCTGGAGCAAGAGTTAGAGACTTCCCGACGTGAGGCTGCTGCTCTTAGACTGGAAAACAGCCAGCTCCGAGGAGAATTGGCCGGCTTCGCTAACACACACCGGCTACCCCCACAGCCTCCGATGAACAACGACTACTCTCAAGGCAACTCGATCTACGGCGGAGGTGTTATGGATAGGGGAACGCGTGGTCACGATACATACGTTCTAAGATCCGCGGAGCAGCTACCCCCAATTCGAAACGCCATAAGTGGTCATTCCCAACAGGCAGATGCCATGAGCGGAATCCAATACCAGCAAAGTGGTTACCGTGCCGGAGGTGACCATTTTTGAAGTCCACTTAGACCTCCTACCATCTTGGCGGCTTTGCCTCTGACATGATGGATTTACTGAACGCCATCCTATTGCTTGGGGCACGAATATTGAACCGAACGTCTCCCCCTACGACCGAATTCGAATGCTTAAACGTGGATCTTGGTTTCTCTGAGGCCAACTTTTATAAAGCATTCACTCAGCAAGTTGGTAATGTGATGCTTGATGCATCGCTCCTTCAATTCGCAAAACCCACATACATGTTGAATACAACACAAATCTTTTTCATTTATCCTCGTGGCGGCAGTACCGATGAATACTTGGAACGCAAGCGTCATACGTGTTGATATGGAGTCATATTGCCTTTCTTTTTCTGTAGGAATATTTTTCTTTTGTCGGTTATACGTTTTCAAGAATACCCTTCAACATCCGGTGGTTCGCTGTATTTCTTTGAAGAAATCAACACCCACGCAAGACAACAAGGGCGCTTTGAAGGGGGTGGTGTGGTACATATTTAGGGTACGGTCGAGATCTGATGAGGCGTTACGCGTGCTCCAGATAATTGGACAAAAGCATGGAATTTGGAAATGGGATATGTTGGCGTTTGATATACCCGCACTGGTTTACTTGATCTTGGTATAACTCTTGCCCATCAGAAATTCCATTGCAAAAATGGGTTTACAATGGGGAGGAGGGAGATTGGGGTCCCAATTGTGCACCGAGAAGATTTTTCTAGTTGAGTTTCGAATTAGGGTTGGCTCTACAAATGTGGCGTCATAGAATAATAGGTTGGATGGGCCTGATAGAGGTCCACCAATACAAAAAGATCTCAGAGCTCACAGACGGGACTGAATGATAAGAGTGTATAGGAGGCAATTTCAACCAACTTTTAATACACGTATTGAACAATGACGAAGCCTCTCTCTGACAAGAACTATTATGCCATGCTCAGATCAAATCAAGCCCGTTCCACTTCCATAAGACCCGGATTGGAAGTTGCGCTGCCTCTTCAGAATAGCTAGATAGCTGCGCAATGACTTCTGTATTGGGGGNGGGGGGTCGACTAAGCGACCTAAGGTCCATTGTGAGCTCTCCAGCTGCGAATCTTAGCGGTTGGGTGGGTGGCGCGGGTTGGTGAGTGGTGCGTGTCCAAAGAGGGTCTAGTACAGGTCTGTGCACCACGCTAAGAACAAATCTCCAGACTCAGGTCAAAAAAAATCCAGAAGAATAATCTCATCAACAATTTGTGCCATTTCATCTACAACCTTTCCACAGCACATCTTCAGATACCAACCGCCATCATGTAAGTCATCTCTCACCTTTGCGGTTGCATTATCAATACAATTGCGAGCTGTGATATTTACTGACTACGAAAAAGGCAACTCTTCCGTCGTTCTGCTCTCCGAGCTGCCTCCTCACCTTCCACCACCTTCATCTCCCAATCCCGCAACATCAACACATCCTCATCGTTCCTCCTCCGCGCAAAGATCCAGTCTGCAGGTATTACTCCATCTGCGCTCAGACGTTACGGTGACGATTCTCGCCAGAGCTCTGACCGTGGCTCATACGGTGGTGACCGAGGAGGCGGACGTGGTGGATATGGAGGCGGTCGTGGAGGCGATCGTGGAGGTTATGGAGGCGATCGTGGAGGTTATGGAGGCGATCGTGGAGGTTATGGAGGCGATCGTGGTGGTGGTCGTGGGGGCGATCGTGGTGGTTATGGAGGAGATCGTGGAGGTTATGGAGGCGGTCGTGGGGGAGATCGTGGTGGATATGGAGGTGACCGCGCACCGCGACCAGCACCAACTCCAAACAACACTATTTACGTTGGTAACCTTCTTTTCGACGTCACTGCAGCCGACTTGGAGAGAGAGTTCGCCCAGTTCGGCACAATCACTGCTTCACAGATTGCAACAGATCCTAAGTCCTTGAGCAAAGGGTATGTCATATGATACTTCATCGAGAATCGCTGTACTAATAGGATTGCAGATTTGGGTACGTCACGTTTGAAACCGTTGAACAAGCACAGGCTGCCATTGAGGCCAAGCATATGACTGTCCTTGAAGGCCGTAGAATGATGGTAAACTTCCAGAACACCAGCAAACCATCAGACCAGTCGAACCCACCATCCAAGACTCTCTTCGTTGGCAACCTTGCCTTTGAGATGTCCGATGCCGATCTCAACAAGCTTTTCCGTGATATTCGAAATGTCATTGACGTCCGTGTTGCTATTGATCGTCGAACTGGTCAACCAAGAGGTTTCGCACACGCCGACTTTGTTGACATTGAGAGTGCCGTTAAGGGAATGGAGGCTCTCAAAGATCAAGAAGTCTATGGCCGTAAGTTGAGACTTGACTACAGCGTGGACAAGTCGAGACCAGCAGACTCGGAGAGCAAATTCGAGGGCGAATCAGCAGAGGGCGAATCAGCAGAGGGCGAATCAACAGAGGGTGAATCATCGGGAGGCTCATCACCATACTAGACATTGGGATCTCAGGTTTACCGTGGAAAAACAGGGAGTGCGGTGTAAGATGATGGCCAGGAATGTATCAAAAGTTGTTGGGGGTATCTCGTGGCTAATTTTTCGGACTTCTCCTTGCTGTATCTTGTCTTGGACCCTGTACTCTTCTTTTTTTTTCATGATTGTAAAATAGGGGTCATCTAGACAGGCGTCTGAAGGATTGGTCGGGAGAAGAACTCCACTCTACTGATGACTGACTCGTGGGACGACGGTGTTTCTTTTGATGCCCATGAATAAGCAATTATTAATGAAAGATGCTCTCCAATCACAGTCCGTTTTTCTATATTTCTATGATATTGATGGATGTTTGAGTAATAAATAGTGAATTATTAGGTAACCTTTTAGAAATCATGTGAAGAGGCTCAATTCACGAGTACCTCCGTAACTAGGCTAGGTACCCAACAGTACAGTACGTGCTGGGTGGAGCTGGACACCCGACGGCACTCGGGAAGTCACCTCGGCTGAAGTTGATTGCTTTCCAACCCTCAAGCTTCCCCACGTTCAGGTCTTGTACCTTTTATTTGGCGGCAACTACGAGTACGCATACGCATACGTATACCTAAACAAGTACAGGTTTTTCTGCACTGTACAACAGTCGACATCATTCCTTGTATCTAGAGAAAAGCCTTGGTATTTTCAGCATCTCCCATAGCCTCATCCGCGGTGTGGCAACTGCGATTTATTTGCCCACAATACTGGTACCGACAACGCAACAACCCATCTCCCACTAGGCCACCCGCGTATACAAAGCAGGACGATCATGTCTTTCCTAGGGGGTGCCGAGTGCTCGACAGCTGGAAATCCTCTCAGTCAGTTTACCAAGCATACACAAGATGATAAGAGTCTACAGAGAGATCGGCTGGTTGGGAGGGGACCAGGACCGAGTATGCAGGGCATGCGAAGTACGAATGGAATGAATATGGCTGGAAGTCAGGATAATGTGAGTGGCAGTGGTTGCTAGTTTTCTCCTGGGCCCCTTTCAGGTATGCCAGAGGTACAATAAGTACTGATACAACCTCGCAGATGATGAACGAGTTCATACAACAAAATGGTCAAATGCCCGAAGCCTTCGCCATGCAGCACGATTTACACCAAAATCCACTCATGCGTGCGGGCTCAGCTTCACCGGGTATAGGGAACTGGGCACAGGAGTTCACGCCGGGGATGGAGGACCAGGCACGAATGGAAGCTGCTTTTCAAGCTCCAAAGGGGGCCGCCTTTAGCAAGGCAGATTTCGCAAGATTTCAACAGATGGGCAAGGGAGCTGCTGCGAGAACAGCAAGTCCATTATCACAACAAAACCAAGGCTTTCAAAGACCCATGGGAATGGGAATGGGTGGAATGGGTATGATGAATGGCATGGGTGGTATGGGTATGGGAATGGGTATGGGTATGATGAATAGGACGCAGTTTCAAGGCCCCCAGGACCTGCAACAACAAGACAAGGGAAAAGGGAAGATGATAGAGTTGGATGATGAGCACTGGGAGGAGCAGTTCAAGCAGATTGATCTTCAAGGTCAAGAACTAGACGAGAGTATGGCTGGCGAAGCAGAGTTGGATCAAATGGATAGGTCAGTCCTCGAATCTGAAACCAATGAATTTGGTGATTTTGAGTCTATCTGGAAAGGTATACAAGCTGAACAAGCGGCCGCTAGGGAAATGGTTGCCGAAGAAGAACTCGCCAATGGAATCTGGGGACATATGGGCGGCGAAGGCGACCACTGGGATGATTTCGACGGTCTACGAACTCATTCCGCACCATTCCGAGACCCCCACCTGGGAGACTACCTATTCGAGGAGGAGAATCCTTTCAAGGAGCTTGCGAATCCTTTTGAGGAAGGTGTGCGGATAATGCACGAGGGAGGAAACCTCTCACTGGCAGCACTAGCATTCGAAGCTGCAGTACAAAAAGACTCGCAACATCTCGATGCGTGGGTACTTCTTGGATCAGCACAAGCACAAAATGAAAAGGAGAGTCCGGCCATTCGGGCTTTGGAGCAAGCAATGAATGTGGACCCAAATAATCTTACGGCACTAATGGCGCTGGCCGTCAGTTACACTAACGAGGGTTATGATAGTACTGCCTACCGGACCCTAGAACGTTGGCTATCAATCAAATACCCGTCCATCATCTCTCCGTCAGACCTTTCATCGGATGCAGAAGTGGGTTTTACAGACCGACATCTGCTACATGAAAAGGTTACCGAACACTTCATTCGTGCAGCACAACTATCACCAGATGGCGAACATATGGACCCAGATGTTCAAGTTGGTCTTGGTGTCTTATTTTATGGTGCTGAAGAGTATGATAAAGCCGTGGACTGTTTCTCAGCTGCTTTGGCAAGTACGGAGTCTGGCACCACCAACCAAAGAGAACAAGTCCACCTTCTCTGGAACCGTCTAGGCGCCACACTCGCCAATTCAGGCCGTTCAGAAGAAGCCATCGCTGCCTACGAGAAAGCACTTACTCTCCGAACCAATTTCGTTCGAGCCCGATACAATCTTGGTGTTTCTTGTATTAATATTGGATGCTACGAAGAAGCGGCTTCTCATCTCCTCGGTGCGTTAGCTATGCATAAGGTTGTTGAGAAAGAGGGCCGCGAGAAGGCGAGGGATTTGCTGGATGGGAATGGGAATATTAGTGAGGCGGATCTGGAGAAGATGGTTACGCAGAATCAGAGTACCAATCTTTATGATACTTTGAGGAGGGTATTTAGTCAGATGGGACGAAGGGATTTGGCGGAGCGCGTGGTGGTGGGGATGGATGTCGAGAGTTTTAGGGGTGATTTTGATTTTTAGGGGGGATGGGTTAAGATAGTAATAAATTGTTGAGTTGTGAAGTGATTCTTGAAAAGAGTGGTTTTTAGTGTGGGCTGAATCCATTGGTTCGTGAGGATGCTGGGGTTATTCTTGTGGGCCATCGTTAGAATGGTTGACATAATGCCTTGCGTAGAAAACACTTTCTAAGCGGAGGAGGAGTGGTTTTATGGGTAGTGGCGCTTCCAATTTGTGTTTTTAAGATGCCCTTCTGGCATATCATACTCAGTCATGGCGAGATCCATCGATGGTGGTAAGACTTGGATGGCATCCTGGGATTTTCGGCTAGCTGGCCTGCACCGAGAGACGGACTTCTCTCAATAATATTGGGTGCGAGGAACTGCTGGACAAAGAGTATCTCATTTAGCACTTCTTTCTCTTCATTGAGCCTGCCTTATGAGCGACATATCAGCAGCATTGCTATTCTGTTCACGTGACCAGGGGATCCAACTCAGCCTTAACTTCCTTGAGTCTGTGAATGACAAAGGACCTTGGGAACTTCTTGTTAACTACATAACTACCCTTCTTTTTGTAACTTTGTGTCAGGAGTGCAGGAAATTGAGTTTCGATGACAGGTTCTTGTATTCCCTCTTTCGGTCAAAAATCGATGATTTGCTAGAGTGCGCCTGAAGTGGTTGGAGACGTAAATGCCGGCGAACTTGTGAGGAAAACTGGAACCTTCTCATATCTGATAGATTGTTCTGGAGGGTGCGTTTGAAACCGAAATCCAAGAATAATTTGGAAATCTTGGAGAATATTTGTAAGAAGCTGTTTATGCTCGAGTCAGCCAGGTTGAGCAGTCGAAGTCCATCTACATCTACTTTCCTGTCCAGACTGAAGTCTTGACAAAGCTACATCCTTGCATCCGCCCAACACCACTCAAAATCATCATACAGCTACCATAAAACAACCTCTTCTCATCAATTATCCATTTCCCGATCAAGACGCCAAGAAGTAATTCAAGAGGAAGAACATCTATTCAGAAGAAGAAAAAATGCAACCACAAACCCTCTACTTCGCCTACGGCTCCAACCTCCATCTCACCCAAATGTCCCATCGCTGTCCGCAATCCCGCTACCTGGGCACCGGCACCCTCCCAAACTACAAATGGCAGATCAACATCCGGGGCTACGCGAACATCGTCCCTTCCCCCGGGGATTACGTCAAGGGCCTCTGTTACCTGCTGAGTGAGAACGATGAGGCGGCGTTGGATGTTAATGAGGGCGTACCGTGGGCTTATGAGAAGGTTTGGATGGGGGTGGAGTGTTGCGCTGGGAGTGTGAGGGTTGTGGGGAGGAGGGTGGAGGGTGGAGGAGGTTGATGAGGTTGTGAGAAAGGGGGTGGATGGGGGGAAGGAGGG